ATTAGTTAATTTTACTGCCACACTTCCCTATCAAACACTGTAGTGCAGTCCTTTATGACTTAAATTTTTTAAAACTCGGGTTGTAAACATGACGACCCCAGTCAATGGAAGAGGGTGATTATAACTTCCGGTGTGAGACTGACACACTATGATGTCAGAGGAACTTCATACTTCTTCAGCAAGAAATTAAAGAATTAAACCTCCCAGGAACTGAACTCTTGTCTTGCCAGGACAGTGCATTTATCATCACACATTGGACGAAATTGTACTCGTATCACCTGCACTCATTGCCAAGCAGTCTTTAGTTCATATGGGACTAGGCAGGGTAGTCACTCCACCACACAACATACAGCTGCTCACTGGACATTTAGAGCAATGCCTGTGTTGATGCTTTCAATGTTTGTATAGTGTCAATGATCTATCAAAAGATAATACATTGAAGGTTTGAATTTTAATGATTGCATAGCACTGTTGTTGAAAGGTACTCAGGAACAAAGTAGAAGACAGATGAATTGAGATCAACTTGAGTACTTTACTGTACTGTATGACTTGCAGCAGAAATTATCACAAAGAGTTCCTTAAAATTATAAATTTTCTGAAACTCCATATGAAAGTACACTGTACTGTACATGCATTACAAGGGAAAATGTAATCTAAAAGATAAATTGCATAAAGAGTTGTAGTGTGTCCAAGTAGCACAATACAGTATGTTGAAACAACAATCAACACCACCCCCCCCCATACAAATATAAAAAATTTGAATACTTTGGGTGAAATTGCAAATGGAATAACGGTTAGTGTCAATCTGTTTTGCATCACAGTCAGATACCTACTTTTACTTTTATCCTCTTCACCACTGATCAGCTCCTTAGCCACTTGTGAGAAGGTGAATCAAGCAACAAAACTAGTAGGTCTTATAATAAGGTCATTTAGATATCTGGATGGTCCGTCCCTCGTCACAATCTTCAAAAGTGAGGTGCTTCCCTGTCTGGAGTACTGTCACCCCATCTGGTCAGATAATGCACTAAATTATAGAAACCTCATAAGAATAATTGTTTTGTAAAGCTATACTGGATGAATTATACAGGTACAGTAATTCCAATATGCAGCAGATAATAAATCCCTCATTTTTGAGTCCGCAGAACACACAGATTTGTGTGCAGCAGCAAACTGAGATTTTGTAAAATTATCTTGTGCAATATACATTTTCTTGCGGTGATTATGAAATATATACATAATATTTAATCATCCACATTCTTACGGAGTAATTTTACACTCACAGTGACAGAATGCATTTTCTTTCTATCACTAGATTCTCTCTCTCTAATCTATACCAGTCATCTATGTATCGACAAGAGGGATCCAGTTTACTAACCTTGTGCCACGTCATAAAAGTTTTTGTAACTTCAGCAATGAACATATCATATGCACAATCCTACAGTAATCCTCCACAGAGATAAGTTGCATACAAATATTCAAATCTTGCATAGTTTGTACTCTCATATACTGTATAATCTTTATTTTATTATCACTAATTGAAAACCTATCAAATCTATGAGAAATTTTATCATGCTGTTTACAACTTCTACAGTATACCTGTATGTAACGTATTCAGCTAAGATGTCTTTACTTATATAAATAAACTCAAGCTGACTGATATGTCATGAGTGGTTCTTTTTACATTAAATGGACGGGGACAAATTTTTACATTCAGATGAAAAGACACCATTAGCCAAGTAGCTGTAATTGATTCAAGTATGTGACACTGAGTTTCCAAAGCACACCTAACGTCACCCAAACCAAACCTAAACTACCCTAAGATGGTGTGATTAGGATTCAGTTAGATGGTTGGCCAACAAAGCAATTAATTGACGACTTTATCAGCTATTCTTGGTCAAATTGCCTTGCTGTTTATAATTGTTGTATACCTGCACTGTCTAGGTACATTGGAACCTTTATACTGTACTGTACAGTACCTCCACAGTCTATGTACAGTCTCGTTTAAGATTCTTCGTACACTGCTGGAAACAGCTGGCAACTCGAAGCCATTTGTTTACTATAGTACATAGTATAATATAATATGAAACAACAAAGCCCAACCATTAATTAAGCAACAGGGAACGACCTCGAGTTGCCAGCTATCTCCAGCAGTGTTCGAAGAATCTTGAACAAGAATGTACAACATATACAGTACAGTACCTGCATTGTCTACACACATGCTGAACTGTATGCCTGCACAGTCAATAGATTCCAAACCAATTGTAAACCAGTGTGATGATTTTACCGAGTAATATTAATCATAATTATTGTTACTACTGTATTATAATTTTTTGCCATACTTTGAAATAGGGTTACCATATTTGAACACTCAATAAAGGGGACACTTTGCTGAAGGGGAGTGAGGTATTTGTACAAGACTATCTACTAACTTTCACTCTATTAATGCTATACTGTATACTGTACCCTGTAATAAATTATATACCCCTGTACTGTATGCTGCAGTATAAGCATCCTCTAATTTGGTGCTTGGCTTTACAAATTATTCTGTCAATTTTGCTGATGAGCTCTATCCTCAAACTGCTTTCTTGTGCTTGTCAGAGTCCACAGGAGTTTGTAAATGATTTGCATCTTTATTTGCCACAGAGAACTAAGTACAGTATACCAGGTCTACATACCAAGCACTCGGCTTCCCATTTTTTCTACCATTTCGTAAACACTTGAATTTTGTCTTCAGTTCTGCAGTGTATTTACTTTCATTTTGGCATTGCATTTACGAATAACAAAATAAAGTATCAGGGTTCAGGTACATTCAGGAGCCGGTGCATGCCCAGTACTTGCCAACAGTGCATAACAGAGACGTGATCGATCGCTCAAGCAGCTAATGAGCCGATGTTTTGGTGAAGAGGGCAAAAGAAAAGGAAAAGTAATCAGAGACGTGACCAATCGCCCAAGATGCTAACGAGCCGATTAGTGGTGAAGAGGATAAAAGTAAATAAAGATCTCTTGAAGAAACACTACTGTGCACAGTACAAACTCAGATAAAACACTGAAATTAGGACCGTGGCTGAGCCAGGGAGAAGGCTTTGGAAAATCATACCTGTCCAGGACAGAAACTAAACGGTACAGTAAACTAGACAAGCCCTGAACCAATAATTAACACACGCTCTCTCTCTCTTCGTTGGTCAACGCTCTCTTTCTCCCAAGAACTAATGAATATTTTATTTCTAATTTTATATGGTCAATTTCACATAGAAAACCTCTGTGGAAAAATAATAAGGGCAAAATCCCAGACGTTTTAAGATATTTAAAAATTTCTCCTGGATGGAGATTTAAGGACCAAAAAGGAGGTCAGGTCCAGGGAAATATATATGTATGGTAACCCTACCTTGAAAGACATCAATAAAATCTCTGATAAGTTTTTAAAGGCAGAAAGTTACAGACTCTAGCTGATGGACACTTTCCAGCTGAGTGCAAAATTTTCTGCTGCCATACTACACACATACCAGTCTTACCTTTGAACCAACACTAAATTGAACGTATAGCATCACTGCAACATCAGTTTAATTGTCAAATAATGTCATGTAAAAACTTGATGCAGTGATCAAGTGAAGGCCTTTATACTCATCACAAACAAAACATTACCAGCTTCTGGACTTGATGTTTTCTCTTAGGAAATTCTAATATTCTCAAGTCTTTTTCATGAAGATATTAGTAATTAAGTATTGTAATTAATTCCAGCAGACCATGACAAGAAACAAGAACATTCTCATGAGCTTGATATAATGGTACATACAATCTCACTTTCTTCTTTTGATCATTTGAGTTCCAGTTTATAAAGCATATTTTAGATACCGTAGATTATTTACATATCATTTTCATTCACTTATGTCTTCAATATGCCCTGTAATATTTGAAAAATTATTATTGTTAATAACTTTGCTTAATATAACAGTCAAAAAAGTTTTTTCAATATTCGTTTAAGGGCAGTTTTCTTCTTTAAATTAGTACCAATATCAATTCACTAATTCACTGTATATATTCCCCCTTCTGGAGACACTTTAACAGGATTCACACAAGTGAGAATGTTCACAAATGTTTAGTTTCTTACAAAAAACATTACAACCCAAGTGATCACACTCTCTGGCAGCATATTATCCTTCATCTTGCAACAGATTTAAATTTGTGTGTACAGTAAACCCCCAATATAACAGGGGGAAGGACGATCTGTTAAAGCTGAAATAACAATAAACTCAATCCATTATATACCAACATAGTTTGAAGTGACCAACACTTACCATCACCACTCACCAACACTTGCCATCACCACAAACACTCGCCACCACCACAAACACTCGCCACCACCACAAACACTCGCCACCACCACAATCACTCGCCGTTACCACCACAATCACTCGCCGTTACCACCACAAACACTCGCCACCACCACCACCACAAACACTACCACCACCACCACATACACTCACCGCCACCACCACCACCACCACCACTGCACCACAACACACACCACTTCGCAGCACCACCACACAAACACTCGCCACCGCCACCACACAAACACCACCATCAACACTCACCGCCACCACCACCGCCACCACAAACACACCAACCACTCGCCACCACCACCACTCGCCACCACCACCACAACACTCAGCCACCACCACCACAAACACGCCACCACCACCACCACCATACACACTCTCGACCACCACCACCACAAACACTCGCCGCCACCACTCACGACCACCACAAACACTCACTGCCACCACCACCACAAACATTCACCACCACCCACCACCACCACCACAAACACTCGCCCCACCACCACCACAAACACTGCCACCACCACCACCACCATTAGCACTCACCACCACCACTCGCCACCACCACCACCACCACAAACACTCGCCACCACCACAAACACTCACCAGAACCACCACAAACACTCACCACCACCACAAACACTCCCCACTACCACTCGCCACCAACATTCACCACCACTCACCTTCACCGCCAACACTCCCCATTAACAACACCACCACCACCACCACCACCACTCACCATCAACATTCACCACTCCCCTTCACTGCTAACACTCACCACTACCACCATCACCACTAACACTCACCATCAACACTCACCATCACCACCAACACTCACCACCATCACCAACCACCATCACCAACACTCACCATCAACACAAACACTCACCACCAATGCTCATAACTACCAGGGTAATTATTTCTGATAATTTGGATATGAATGAACCCAAGTCCATTATTTTTTTACTTTAATGGGCCCGAGTCCGTAATATCTATATGAACCTAGTCCGAATGGGTCAGTGTCCGTTAAAGCCGAGATCTGTCATATCGCGGTTGTACTGTACTGGATTTACACATGAAGTCCAAATAAGTTTCATTCCTTTATTGTGACACGTAAACATGACTTCCAAATCATTTTATTTCTGTAAGTGTTAAGTTCAAATGAGTGGAATTTTTTATAAGCCAAGTCCAGTAAGTGTGATCCCTTAAATGTGACATCCAAATGAGTATGATTTCTCCTTTAACATGGCATCCTAAACTCATTCACTAGGGATGGTCTCCCAGAGGTAGTGAGTCAGGCAATTGGGAGATCTCCTGCATCTCCAGTAATGTACATTTCTAAGCCGGGGATGAAAACAATTCTTCTCACAGCCTGAAAATAAATGTAATATGTTATACTTATCACTGATTTAATGCATATTACTGAGTTTATAATATAAATATTTCTATAATTGTTTATATATATATTGTATAGGGGTTCAATTCTTAAAGGATCATACAATGAATATTCTTAGTAACTGACGATCTAAGAATATACCTTACTGGTTGAATCAAACTAAAAGACAAATGAGAAATACAAAAATATCACCAGAATTAAACCAAGGTTCATCCTTAAAGCGCACATACTCATGCACGCACGCGCACACACAAACCCTGGGTGATTACTGATTACACTAATACTCAACCAAAAAAACTAATCAGAGATAAGAGGTGATTAGAATTTTCACTTAATACAGTACAGTACAACTATGTCTTTGTCTATGTACAGATACAGTACTGTAGAGGAATAAAACATGCCATTTTATTCTATTACAGCTGCTAACAATTTAATGTCCTCTTCAACGCTTCTATGTCTGCAGCTGAATACTATACAGCAGGGTATATGAATTTCTTGTAACTTATCAACATACAACTACACAGTCTAAGATGAGACAGAAGCCTGGTCTCCTTGTGAGAGTGGAGTCTGGATGCCACCAAGCCATCACCCACCCTCAAAGGGAATAGTTAAGGCACAATGGTAAGTACTATTTCTGCCACTCATGGAGTCTCTTCTAATGAAATGACAAGAGAATTTTTTAACATGTACGGTCTCTGTTGGTACTGGTGTTGGAAAATTATCCCACATCATATCACCATCTCATTTACTGTATACATGTATGTCAGCATAAACAACTAAAACTTTCAACAATTCAGAATTCTGAAATCAATACTTTAATAGTGTAATCAACAAAATATCAGTATACATGTGTAGTTAGAATTATCCATTCCTTTAGTAGGTATAAAGTATCTATACTTAAACTAAAATCTATACTGTAATTGCTTACTTCTGTACTCACCCTAAGATGCGTGAAAAGAGAGAGGAGCATTACAGTCCAGTATTTATATATATTACAAGAAGAATTTGTATACACTGTACAATGATTTTTTTTCATCTGCAACATTAATAAAAAACTTAATCATGAATAACATGCTAATTTAACAAATGACTTAAAAACTATTCATAAACATTTTAAACATTGATATACTTACTGTACAGTACTGCATAAACTTCCAAATCAAAACATTATTACCTGAACAAACAATTCTTTTAAGAGACTAAACTTTCAGAAAAATCTTTAATTCCAAGAAAATTTTACACTCACCTCATAGCAAATTATAAGAAAAAACAGGATAGACTAATGGCTGTGACGAAGGCCACCATCTGAGCGCGCTTCTCCGCAGGTGTGAGAGTAAAGGTGAATGCTCCTGATGAGTCATCCTGTACAGCCATAGTCTCTGTTAGGCAAATAATAATAGTAGTAGTAGTAATAACACTACTACTATTACTACTACACGTACTACTAATAATAATACTGTAATAAATATTTGTCATCAACAATAATACAGTACCCTCTGGTGTAATCTCACTTCTATCTTATGGACTAAGAGATAGTATATACAGTGCACTGTATTTTGTGATTATATGTCTGTATGTAGTGTACAGTAATAATTATTTCAACTGTGGATGCAAAGTCCCTCTTTCTATGAGTGCTCTGTACCACATGCCTCCTATGCGAGAATAAAATTGAAGTATTTCCAGCGAGTTAAGGCTGCAACCATAAGAAATGCACAAACTGTATAGTATTGCAAAAATCATTAACGACTTGTGCATGGGGTCCCCTCTCTATTTAACAAAATCATCTGGCATTAACCAAATAAAATACTAAAAGTGGCATCCCTGTAGTGACGTGGTTAATGTATTTATATGTATTACTACAGACATCTTAAGTGACCTTAACATTTTGTGTTTTTCCATTTTTTTGTAGAAATTGGGGCACCATAGGAATGTTAGGGATATTGCAGGTATTGTGAAAGTGACAGTAGGTCCCATAGGGATAGTATGGATACAGCACACTGTATACTAAGCCTACGGTACACAAGGCAGCATAGCCGGTAATGCACTCAACCGCATTCGCAGCTTAGGGAAGTGAATGTGGCTCAAATGTAACATGATTGTATTTTTCTATGAAAATTAAACCCCCAAAAATATCCCACTTCATCTGTGTACAGCTAAGGACTACAGTGAAACATTACAGGACGATCTCTGTCAGCTTCAGGAATGGTTAAGGGGAATGGCTGTTAAAATTCCACATTACAAATGGATCTATCCCCCACCACATCCCAAGGAGGAAGGAGCACTTTTCAATTACAATACTAAAACTTCTGACCTCACCATTACATAACACAGATTTTAAGAACTGCATCCACCTGATGATCATTCATTAAACAAATGTTTGACTTTTTCCAGGTAACAGCTTACTCCAGGCACCATACTCATTAGTATCAACTTGTCAATGGAAGTTCATATCTACTCATAAGAGGATTCATTACCCTTACTGATGGCATATAAGACACATTTGTATGTTATTTCAAGAAAATCTAGGCTTATTTACAATGAAATGTATATAGCATGCTAAATAGTGCCGTGTTAAAATACATGCGAAACCTTGTGCTTCATGTTACCACATACGCAGTGTTGTACGCGTCAACCAAAAAAAGTGGCGCCGCCAGCGTCAGCATAAACGGCCGAGAAATTTGATGCCATCAGCATCGGCGTTATTGATTTCATAAATTGAAGCCGTTAACGTCAGCGTCAACACCTAGCATCAATGAGCTTTCAGTGACGTACAAATGCAGGCCCAAAACGCATATTCTCCTGTGTATGGGAGTAACATATGCAAAATAAAAAATATTCATTAATTTTTAATCATTTATTATGATAAATATTATATTTTAATTATTCATTTGTTCCCCCTCAAGAATACTAGCATCTCAAAATTCTTGTCGCTCATTCTGCTGCGCTTGGGCCTCAAGACGTCCTTGCCCATGGAGAACATGCACTCCACGGCAGCACTAGAGGGGATGGAGGTGTTGTATTTGATGAACAACTCCCTCATGGCCTTGTTGGGGAAGGTGTCCTTGTCGAAAGTTTTTTTCAAAAGTTTCTCCCCCAGGAAATGCCTGAAAAGGTCACTGTCTTTTTCATTCTTGCAAGTCATGGTCTTTGTTGTCTCCCTCACTGCTGCTACTGCTCTCAGTCTCGTGCACGGACTTCTCCACCAACCTGGACAGTTGGTTGGTGGCCTTTTTCCTGATGAACAAATTGACGCTTGACGCTCCACTCGGGTGACAAGTTGACTGTGTCACCCGTAGCGTCAAAAAATTGATGGCATCAGCGTCAACAAAAAGTTGCCGCTGTCCATTGACGGCGTTAAATTAATGGTGTCAACGTACAACACTGCACATACAGTACACGAAGACAAGTCTCGTGCACTAAAATATGAATAGTGCAGGAAAACACTACTGTACTGGCAGCACTCGGCAGCATCTGAGGGACTATAAAAAATGGAATGACGGTCAAACCTATAAAGAAATTTAAGAAAAAAAAAAGCTTCATATCCAAATAAAACTCACTGTAATGGAACACCTTATGACCAAATCACTATAATCTACTATTCCTGTCTGCCCCCGTAGCCTAAAAAAGAAAAACTGTGAACCTTTCAATTAAAATGTTTTCCTGGTGAGTGATTCTCTAGCTTTTGTAAATACTGTACTGTACTGCACTGTATAGCAGTCAGTTTGACTTCATTTATCGGACTCCAGTCATAACCATCAAATTGCATAATTCAGGATTACAAGTTTATGGAGTTTAATTAAATGTAAGAAGCATTATTTTCATCCAGATATTCTATTTCTTGTCATTATAAAAGAATACATTTTAACCCTTTTCACCTGACTAATCCAATTTTTGCAACAAAACTTGAAAATAATGACCAATGTCCTCCCTACATTCAGCAGTAGTACCAGTTTCATGTTATTTAAGATATTACTGAAGCAACTCCCTTGTGTAAAAAATGTGATGTTGATAGTCATATTTACCTAGAGGCCATACTGAGGGAAGGAGGCCAGTGGACTGTGTCATTCCTTATTGCCTAGTAAAGGTACAGCCAATAAAAAATTATCAACCACTCTGCCATGCATAACTATATGATACACCATAAGAAAACTGTACACATATACCTGTGGTTACCGGCATTAGTTGGTTGTCATATATCATTTTCTATTCCACTGACCTTGGGGTGGTTGATACTTATTTTACTGCACTACCTTCATTCCAAATCATCTGTCTTTTAGGCAATTGCAATGTTAGGTTCAAATTAACCTACTACCCATCATAATGTGAAATACATTTCACAGTTTATTTCTTGCTGGATATTTTTACAATATCCTAATCTAACATTAAGCATGAAAAGTTAGTAGTCAGTATGATGGTTAAGTATGCGGCATAAAGCTCCTACTGTGTTGACAAAGATTCACATGCAGAATGACAGACTGACTAGCATATACAGTACTGTGTAATTTTGAAGGCTGCATGACTGGTTAACACAACATGAGCGTCGAGTGAAATATGATTGTTAATTACAAGTACGAAAGATTAATGTGCAAAGAGACTGGCCCTACATACCAACATGCAACATGCTGTACACACATATACCATTATGGAACCTTGCATGTAGGGTGATGGGTCTTGATATAGTGTGACAGACCAAAGTAGTGTGTGAAAACATTATATCCACTATGACAGATCACCATGCAACAAGGAAGACTGAAGACCATCCTTTAGATTTTACCGAGAGACTTACTAAAGCTCCTGGTAAGAGATAACGTGAGTTGAACTACCACTGTCACTACCTGCATTCGGAACCTTCTTTTTGTGGACTTGCTCCCCCTCAGTCACACTGCCCATCATCCTGCTGGGGTCATCGGAACTGTCTGCATCATCTACACCAGACATGGGTGTCGCCTGGGACTCATTCACCCCGACGACCTCTGAAACCACGCCCTGAAGTAGATCGATGACGAGGATTGTGTCCTTCTCCTCAGCTTGATCACCTTCAGGGGAGTAAGTGATGGCTAGGAAACAAAGGACTCATGCAATACATGGAACACAAAATATGTGCTGTTTGAGCATGCTAACTAAATGTTAAGTCAACAACAGATTGGTAGAGACGAAGTAGTAAGCCTTTACTTTGGACAGCTATATTAATCCAGTAAACATTCAAGACAGTAATGAAGCCTTTTTCATAATCCATGTACTGTATTACTTATCAGCAACTTAGAAATCAATAAAAAAACATGCAAGATTTTTAGAAAGATAAACACTTCAACATTTATGTTGAGGACACTTTTTTGGCACTCCATAAATAAGCTTTACTTGCATATTACATCCTGAACCTCTAGAAATATGAATGAGTGAATTAGACATCATAATCATCAATTTACTACCATTTTCCCGGTCATAGTATTTCCACCTTTGCTAAATCGAACAAAATTGACAATTGTTAACAAACTTACTCAGCTAATGCAAATGTCACAGATGAATCTAAACTTGAAGACAGCCATCAAACGTCTTCTTATGCTTCACCAAGAGATGATTAATGATAAATATAGGGAGGCTAAATAAAGCTATTTGGACTGTAGATTGTACACAATGTAGGGTCTAAGGACAGACAATGAACAGATGATGGATGATGAACAGATAATGGATGATTGACAAATGATGAATTACGGACAGATGATGGGCAACAGACAGACAGGTGGTGATGAACAAACAACAGACAGATGAGAAACAACATAGAGCAAACCAAAATGATAATGATATAGCTTTAGTGTCAAAAGGTATCTTAGCTAATAAAAGTTATATTGTATCCATAATTCCATGTGCAGTATCAACAAAGCTCAACATTCATGATCATCAGAACAGAATGAAAGAACAGATGACAACACACAAAATATCTACATGTTGTACAAAGGCTAAATTAAAATGGAAAAAATATCGGTTAAGAGTCTCCATTTACATACAGGAAGATGCAAGTCCATTTATCAAGTTTGTCCTCCATCTCAAACACCAATTCACTTACTTGGATCAAACGTGGTAAAGGTGAATGTTTCGTTGTTATCACACTCGCCAAACTCATTCTTAGCAGTAACTTGTACAGAATAAGAAGCTCCTGGTTCTAACTGGTTGAAGGTGTGGCTCATGGAGTGGTAGATGGAGGAGGAGGTTGTGCCAGGAACTGTGAAGTTCACCCACTGTTCCTCCATGCCACTCTCCTGAAGGAAGGATCGATTGATAAGATCAGATAGAAATACTGTACCCCCTATAGTATACATTCTACATGCTGTTGCCTATAATCTAAAATCATGGGGGTGATGTCCGAGGTTGTGCGCTAAAGGAAAATTACTACAGGTATATCTTACTATAATAATGGGTTAGGTTCCTTGAAAACCATTTAAGTGAATATTTGTATGTTGAGTAACAGCATATGGAAAAAACAGGGTTAAGTTCACCAATGACAAATAACTCCAATATCATGCCTAAAAATAATGAACTTGATTCACAAACAACAGAAATGTACCCAACTTCAGTACTGTAATAATAATAATAATTACTTTATGGAACCATATTTGTATAAAGAAGACTAGCTTTCATATATTGTAGTGAGAAAGAGGTATAAGAATAGAATATTTGTACAGTACAGTACAGTACAAGCGAATATTCATAGTGAACATTCATATACCGAGGGATACATGTGCAGTATTCATCTTTCTTTTTTTTAACAAAGATGACAGAGAAATTAACACAAGAGGAAAGAGTCTCTTTAATATTCATGTGTGAAAGCCAGAAGCTACACATCATTCAGTTGCAAACAGATTCAATTGAAAACACCCATATGCCTGATTTGGGGGCACCAGTCTCCTGCAACAGTCTCTTGCTCACCCTCCCTGACTTATCAGTACAGTATTTGAAAGGCACTGTTAGATAACCAGGGTTGATAACCTTGCAAATATTCTATAACTAATGCAGCCAATAACCAAGTTGATGGCCAAACTACATAATTTAAAGTATTTATGCTTTGGGTGAAAGGTACAGTTGTGTACAGAAAAAGGATAACAGTTTTGACAACTGTGGCCTAGTCCTCTGCCTCACCATAGTTAAGTTGGGGAGCCATAACTCTGAATAGTAAAGACAGAAATTACGGATTATCAAACCAACCAGACATATTTTTATGGCACACCCATACACTAAATTTGAATCAAATTAAGTATCACAGGAGTCAATGTGTTAGGTTGAAGTTCACCAGCACTGGCATGCATTCAGGTACATTCAAGAGCCTGTACTGTACATGCCCAGTACTTGCCAATAGTGCATAACAGAAATGAACAACTGACTGGCTTGAAAGCTAATAAACAGAAAAAATAAACACCAATAAGTAAACACACACACAACTGCCTGCCAAATTTTCATACACTAAAAGGATGAGATAAATTAATTCCTCTCTCTCTCTGACTTACATTTCTATAAGCAACATTGTAGGACAGGATGGGGGCGTAACTCTCCACTTGCCACACAAGGGTGTAATTCGTTTCCATCTTGCCCTGGTTGGAGCTGGTGAACCTGCACCATATACATGACATTAATAAACATCAAACTGGTCCATCAATAGCTGTTCTGTCCACCTGAAGAATTCTGTGATCACATTATAGTTACAAGTGTTTTAAAATAATGGAGTTTAAGAAGCCATCTCACACACCCCTTTAGAACAATGATAACCCCCAGTAACTGTACAATGAATTAACCCAGTGAAGAAAATATCTTAAGTAAGATGACCTAGTCCCTTGAGCTCGATGACTTAATCCATTGAGGATGATGAAAGAATCCAAAAAGTAAAATGACTTAATCCAAAAAGAATGACAACCCATTGAGTACAGATTTAATATTCTGAGTTTGATGACTTAATCTATCAAGTACAAAGATGTAATCTATTGAGTATGAAGTCCTAACCTTTGAATATGATGACCAATTCCTGTAAGATAACATTATTTTGCTTTATCCTCTTCACCACTGATCGGCTCGTTAGCCACTTGGGCAGTCGGTCACGTCTCATTATGCACTGTTAGCAAGTAGCTACTAGGCATGTACTGGCTCCAGATTGTATCTGTACCTGCACCAGTGTTGATCAAGTCTAGCTTTGAATGAGCTCACACTCGGTGCTGTCACAATGCTCCCTGGCAGATTGTTCCAAGATTTCACAACCCTCACTCCAAAAAAAATTGCAGTAATAGTTTTTTGATCTTGTGGCTTCTTCAACCTTAAGTTGTGACCCCCTAGTGGGGAAGGTGTCCACTAGCTCCAGGTATGAACATTTTACTGAATAATGTCCTCCAAGGTGTCTATAAACTTCAATTACGACACACCTCTTCCTCGGTTCTCAACCTGTCAACATTGTGGTGGTGATCTCCTGGCACACCTTCAGTCCAGCTACCATGCGCTAAGTTTCTTGTGAATTAATTTCTCTCGAGTTTAAGGACGTGTTAACCTTAAGACAACTTATTTATGTTAACTTGTGTCCTACTTGTGTGCTTTTGCCATTGATTCGTAATATCCTGGACAGTGATCCTGCACTACCTCAGTCAAGACCATCAGTGTTCATTTGATATTACTTTGTACATTTATTAACTTAACTTTTGTGTAATTTTCCTTAGTGTAACTTTATATAGTACAAAGTACTTGTATATTAATATTAAGTATAGCAGTTAGAAATTACCTACATGTTTAACTACCCCCATTCGTGATACAGTATCTGAGTCTATTGACATTACAATATAATATTTATGGTAAACATTTTCATGGGAATGCTAAATATTTGTTCTCGAATAGAACTTATATTAATTTTTTAATTCCTTCCTCTTCACCACTGTGAGTATAATACTGTTTTTGTTTAAGAGTATCTTTATAACTGCTGTTTATATCTTAAATTGTTAACTATAACTTCTACCTTGAGACAATAGCATAAATTGAGTTGAGCTGAGTTACTCAGGTTTGGTTTGTGATTTATATCATGATGCTTTTTAATGTAACTTTTTCCTACATTCTCAAGAACACCCTGAAGGCCTTCCCCCACAAAACTGCCAACATTCTCACCTGACGGGTTTTGGTCGTCCTGAGAGACGGATGACAGTGGAGGAGTTACCCATCATGTTGGTGGCATTGCAGGTGTAGTCACCAAAATCATCGAGATTTACGTGATCAAACTGCAGCGAATACCTGCAAGATGTGACAAGCTGCAGTACATGATTGTAAAGAAAGGAAGATTGTGATTTCTTGTGACAACAGACAAGTCAAGAGATTAAAAATAAAGTATTTTCTTGTAACAGTAGGCAAGGAAAATACTTATAATGGGTGAAATGATACTTATAGAAACAAACTTATAAGTAGCATGTATGTGAGACAAATTATATATACATTTGTAACCATTGTGTGTGTGTGTGTGTGTTACATTATCATGGCAGATTACACAACACAACACTCAAGATCTCACCGCATCTTTGGGTTGACAGTTCTAATAAGCCTGAGAGGGTCAACAGGAATGTCTCCTACCCGGTACCACTTGACCTGGGGTGGTGGTTCAGCATCCACATAGCAGGCAAGAGTGGCATCGTAAGTCACACCCGAGAATACCTCCTCATTCTCAGCCCAAACCTTCGGGGGATCTGTTCAAAATACTGTACATAGAGACTTATAGATAAAGATACATAAAAAATATACATATTGTACTGTACATGCACACAGGAAATACAAAAATGAGAACATACTCGGTAATTGAGTACGGTAAGTACAACATCAACAAATACTCTTTTCCATAAAAAAGGGAAGTGCTCAGCTTTAAAGCACTCAATATCAGAGAAGGTACTTTATGTAAGATAAAGTATGCAATATAAGATAGAGTACGCAACGTTAGAAAAAGTGCTCATCATGAAGTACTAAATATCAGAGAAAATACACTACTGAATATCAGAAAAAATACTCAATACCATAGAAAGTACCCGGTACTGAATAATATAGAACAAGTACTCAATAACAGAATATTACAACATTTTGGGGGGAATAGTTATACAGAATTGAGAGAAAAGTAGTCAAAAACAAAGTACTGTGCTCAATAATGTAAACTCGATAATCGATACAGGACTAAAAAATTACAGAAAAGTAAGTAAATATTATGGAAAAAAGTATTCAAGCCCAAGGGAAAAAGTACTCAATCAAGGAAGAGTTTTTCCCAGAGTTAGGGAAAATACTCATGAGTAGGGATAAAAGTTTTCATTACAGTATACAGTACTTTATTTCATCCTCTTTGCACTCAAGAAATAGGAAAAACTGTACTCACGCATGACACTTAGGGTGACAGTAGCAGTAGCAGGCTTGCCCACTCCATTATTTGCCATACACATATACATGCCATTGTCTTCAGGCACCACTTCATCTAGTGTCAGGCTGGCTCCATGTGCTGGCCCGGGCAGATTACCTCCCTGTGGGTAAATTTATTAGACAGTAACCAGGTGTTTTAATGGGAATGTTATACTGTATCTGCCCAAAAGCCCATTACTTTACAGGTAGATAGATATATAGATGGATAGAGTTGTACAGTAGCAATAAAAAGAAATGGTTATCCCTATTTGATAAAAAAAAAGTATAGTGTGTTTTAAGGTTTAAATGAATATCCCTATTAAGCATAAGACATGCCCCCCCCCCCATCACACACACTAACCTAACCTGCCCTGCCCTAATCTAACTTGCCTTATACCGCTCCACCCTAATCTAACCTAACTTATCTTACCCAACTTTAACCTAACCTAAATTAACATTACTTGTAGGTCTGGCAGTCAGTGTTCCGCCTCACCTTACGACTCCAGGTCACCTTGGGTGTGGGGTTGCCAGAGGCCTGACAGCTGAGAGTGATAGCACCACCCATCTTGACAGTCACAGTGCTGCGGTTGTTGATAGGGTATACTGACGGTGGCACTGTAAGGGTACAACAGTAGAGGTATAACTGCAAAAGGGTACTACTAGAGATACAACTGTAGGGGTATAACAGTTGGGTATTTGTACAGTATAATACTGGACTAAAGGTGAAAGATACATAAAAGATCATTTACGAAACTTTGTGATGGATGGTTTTGCTTGAGCTAAAGCAGTGCAGAAGATGTCAAAATGGAAGAGATTTAGTTTGATAAGTAAAACTTTGTACAGTTCCTGCTGTCCCTAAACATGTATAGTTGCTTCCATTTGTAACAGGGGGTACAGTGGCTGACATGTTTTGTGAAATATGGCACCATCGTAGTAAAACTAGTAGAATGGGCCGAACTAACCCTCACTATAGTAACCAGACCAAGGATGCTAAATAAGCAGTCCCTCCTCTTTATGTGAATGTGTGGATGTCCTTCCATGATTATAGCTTTAATATAAATTACCAAGTAGAACATCATCAACTCCTATCTGTTCATTCTGTTGTCTGGTAGGCAGTGGTGCCACATCTCAAAAAACACAACAGCAACTGTACCAGTTATAAATGGAAGCAACTGTACATTATTGTACTTAATACAGTATACCATAATCCCATTCATTTACATTGATCTGACTTCTGGTTATGATTGTACTTATCAACAGATGTTTCTAAGTTCTCTTTTACATTCTCTGAGAAAGTTAAGTGACTTAGAGAATTATCTGAATGTTGTCTGGGGCTCCAACACTGTACAGTAATTACAACCACACTCTTGAATCCTAGAGTTACAGCTAATACCATAATAACATTATCAAAAATTCCCTTCCCCCTTTGAAGGAGTAACCAGGGCTGTGGAGTCGGAGTCGGAGTCGAGGAGTCGGAGGAAATTTCGGCTTGTGGAGTCGGAGTCGGTAAAATTGTCCAGACTCCGACTCCGACTGAAGCTATTCTGTTCCTAAGAACAAATATATGAACTCAGGCATAATCATTGCAGTGATTCCACTGATCCCACTAATTTTCTTAAATTATTAAAAGAATTTATTTCCATTTTATAAGCATTATTATGAATTTATTGTAGCAGGCACAGTATAGCACTATAATTTTGGACGATAGTCTCTTCTTTACCATTTGAAATTTTGAATTATATCAAATTTTGTTTCGTTGAAAACTGCACAGAGGCTCTCAGCTACAAAACAATTAGCTACAACCTGTTTTTGGTGAGATTAAGGCAAATTTAATTTAATAACTTAATCATGTAAGGTTTATCCATTTTCCTTAATAAGGTATTCATTTCTTTAATGTACATAAATATATAACTTTACTTTAAAAGGAATTGTAGGATCATCATTTAGATCCACATCAGATTATGAGCTTAAACAAAATTCATATGCTGAGATCGAACTTTTAGATATACATGTAAATGGTGTTTTCTAGTTAATATCTTGAATTCTTAATAAATTTATTTTTCTTTTGATTGAAACTTTGAAAGTCAAGCCTATCATCTTTTTGTAGTTCTTAAATATCGTCCAGATCATTAATAAAGCTGTAGCAGTATAGCCACGGTGTTTTACTTTTTACCTATGCAGGTTACAACATACAAATTACAATTAGGATGGTAGAAATAGTTGTTACAAATAGGCCAAGGAGTCGGAGTCGGAAGCATAAAAATTTGAGGAGTCGGAGTCGAAGGTTTTGTCTTCGACTCCACAGCCCTGGTACCTATACTGAAATTTTGAACAAAATCCATTTTTTGGCCGAAAATGACAAAAATTGTAAGTCTAAAGCCTTAAAGGATTTTTGGCCAAAAATACGTTTTCTCTCTGAACTAAAATTTAATGTGCCTAACTATTTAAGTACATCCAGAATAATACACAAGCACCAAGAAATGACCTCGAAAACCCATAAGTGGCGAGTAATTAGCATTGCAAAAGTAATTAAAATATTCTAAAAATCATTTGAACATTTTCTAAAAGCCATTTGAACAAGTTATAATCAAGATATCAAATTTTGGTTAACAGATCCTTAAGCAGCACATTCAGGAGTACCTATACTGAAATTTTGAACAAAATCCATTTTTTGGCCGAAAATGACAAAAATTGTAAGTCTAAAGCCTTAAAGGATTTTTGGCCAAAAATACGTTTTCTCTCTGAACTAAAATTTAATGTGCCTAACTATTTAAGTACATCCAGAATAATACACAAGCACCAAGAAATGACCTCGAAAACCCATAAGTGGCGAGTAATTAGCATTGCAAAAGTAATTAAAATATTCTAAAAATCATTTGAACATTTTCTAAAAGCCATTTGAACAAGTTATAATCAAGATATCAAATTTTGGTTAACAGATCCTTAAGCAGCACATTCAGGAGTACCTATACTGAAATTTTGAACAAAATCCATTTTTTGGCCGAAATGACGAAAATTGTAAGTCTAAAGCCTTAAAGGATTTTTGGCCAAAAATACGTTTTCTCTCTGAACTAAAATTTAATGTGCCTAACTATTTAAGTACATCCAGAATAATACACAAGCACCAAGAAATGACCTCGAAAACCCATAAGTGGCGAGTAATTAGCATTGCAAAAGTAATTAAAATATTCTAAAAATCATTTGAACATTTTCTAAAAGCCATTTGAACAAGTTATAATCAAGATATCAAATTTTGGTTAACAGATCCTTAAGCAGCACATTGAGTACCTGGTAACACACCTCATGAATGACCAACCTTTGACAGTGAGGGTGTGACTGAGGGTACGGGGTGGCTGGGTGGCAATCTCACAAGTGTAGATACCCTGGTGGTCTGGCTGCACCTGCGACAGTGTGAGGGAGGTGCCATTCCGCCCCAACCGATGATCCTGCGACACTGCCTGAGGACACCAAAACAAAGTCTGATCAGGACATCCCAAAATAATACAGTACTGATAAATTAACCATTAGAACTATAAATAACAGTTTCTTAGTTCATACGACAGACATAGTTTCTTTATAAACAAACATGTTGGACCTGGTTACCATGAAAATTATCAAAGGTGAATGTGAATTTCTTGACAGCTAAAGATGAAAGAGACGTTTATAGAACTTGCTCTTTTATTAAAGAAATGGGGGAAAACCTGCCTCTCTCACTATCTAATCAAAACTTCCTTTATATTAACTTTCTCATCCAGAAAATGCTTCAACACCAAAGAAATGAAGAAACCAAGAGCTGTAACACCCTGAAAACCAAAATATAAGAGGTTTATGGCCCAAGAGCTGTAGAATCCGAGTCGGACAGAGGAAGAAAAGTTTTAGTAGGAAATACCTGGAGAAGGGGACCCTCAGGCTGCTTCTTCAGGACCCACAGCGTCTCTACTCCACGACGCCAGCTGAGGCTGATGGTTCCTGCGGGAAGAAACATAGGATGTATGGGAAACTTGTGAGGAGGTGACGAGGAGGAAGTTGGTTGGAGTTTTGTGAAATTTTGGGGGGTGATCAACCATCATTCATGTTATTATTATTAATATTATTACACAATCTAGAAAACCATTTCCCTTGAAGGTGAAGGTTGGTCATTGACTCTTCTTTCATTTGGTATCATTCAATTTCTCTAATACCTGTAATTAAAACAGATGTGTTCTGCTGTGGTGTTCCTCTTTCACGACACAGCCCCTGAGAGTTTGACCTGGTTCCACCTGGTTTAGCTTCTGTCACTACACACTTAACCAACATCATCCATCACCAACAAGCCTCTCCCCTAAAAAATATCACACGCCGCCATGTTATCCACTCGTTCACGCACACCGCTGTTTTCCTGGATGTTCAATCTATTCATTACTAGGTCATCCTTCACCCCCATCCTTCCCCATGTGCCTCGGTTCTCTTGCCTCTAATTTGTTTCTTCCTCTTGTATTCCGAGTCCATGTTCGCACTTGCATGTTAGTGTTGGACTCCAGGATTCATTGCACGTACGTACGCACACACGCACACTACTCACCCAGGTTATGTACATCACAGGGCAACAACACAGGGTCGCCCACCATCACAGCCAAGGTTTGACTGGTGGAGGTGATCGTTGGTAAGGTCTCCTCTGGGTCCAGGGTGTCATGGTAGTAGTCATCACCCCACGGTGACCCCGAGTGACTCAATGACACTGGAAGAGGAAGAAAAATGAGGTTGTTCATCGAGAAGTGAGAGATACCATGAAATAAGTTTTAAGCGTAAAAAGATATAGGGTTGTGTAATACTTTTATAAGTGGGGAGTTTAACGAGTCGTTAATACAGCATTTTGAAATTAAAATGGGGTTGTGAAATATATTTTTAAATAGGCAGTTTAATGAACAGTTTAGTATAATTTAAGACGATTTCATTCAGCTTTGGGAAACCTCAAGGAGTAGAAGGGTTTAACATTTTTTTTAATTAAACATGTTAATTACATAGGATTCTCACTAATTAGTTAAATACGATAATTACTTATTCTTATGAATCCGTATACAAGTACAATTCCAGAACGACGCATCAGCCACACTATAGCGACTTCACCCTAACACAACCAACACCACCACACATTCACCAGTCTGGGCCGTGTACACCAAAAGGCAAAATCCACATTTGCAGGCATGAGGTGCAATAATTGGCCCTTGCCATAGTGATGTCAGCGAGGTATCCGTCCAGGAATGGCCTGGGTTTGGCTAAGTTCAGCATAGAGCTACGTTATATTTTGTAAGAATAGATTGACAGTTTTAATTATTTTAAGGTGATGATGTCTTTGGTTAAAGCGATGAACCAATTAGTGCATGCCAGTCCCTCATACACGTGGATTTTGTTCAAATGGTTCCAGTATGGCAGTCAAGTGTGTGCCCACGACTGTTGCCATGGAGGGTAAGTAACACCACTCCAGAGTCATCCGTCACCCCTAATAATTAAACCCTTCAAGTGGTGCATACACACCATAATGGTGTCATGGCAGAGACAAGGCCAAAACAAATAAATCCTGCTTTATTCCTGCCAGTGTGGGTGTTCCTAGTTGGCACCACTAAGGTATAATGGCGCCAAGTGCTGAGAAAATGGATGTGTTCCACGCCCTTTGCTTCACCAGGCAAACACAGCCACTTCCACGATCGACCAATCAGGTGGCTCTCATTCCATGACCTCGTGGATCTAAAGTGGTTTGACTAACAGCCATTTTTCCTGGTTTACAAATCGGGTGACTCCATCTACATGATGTCATAAGTGTATACGCCATGTGACTAGATATTTATCACGTTCTTACACGGAAAAATATTTATCAGATCATCAGTATATGTCAGACGAACGCAAGAAAATGCCCCAAACGTCGTTTTTAAGCCGATTAACGGCATTTACAGTATTTTACATACTTTGATTTTTTTTTAAATATTGTCACACCCGAGGATGACTGGTCCTCGATTACACTGTACTTACATACAGCCATACACACATACATACACAACTACATACATACATCAAGCAATCCCTACATTGAATAAATGACAAATTTCAGTTGGAGGGTTAAGGTGACAGTAGCGACATTCTTTTGTTTTACTAAGTTGAATTAGAAATTCCCTCCCTTCCCTCCTTCCCCTCATCCCTCTCCCCTCCTCTTGACAGCTGTCGTGTGCCGTCATTCATCTCACTGTCACTCGTCTCTTCCTGTTTAATGGCCGCGTTAATTATACTGTTACTGCTTTTGTTTACGCTGTTACTGTGGCCTTTGTTACCGTTAAAACTATGATACTGTTGTTACTGTTAATGCTGTCTTGCTGTTGCTCCGTTGACGCCGTTACTATGACTTGTTAGCTTACTGTTAACGCCGTCTAACTACTGTACTATTTACGACTTGCAATGTGATATTCACGACCACTAATATATATTTACTCCCCCATAGGTCACATTTAAGACCTTTAAAATCATATTCACGACCCCTAAATTCTACTTTCATATTCACGACCTCTAAAATCCTCCTGAAGCGTCACTCCCTCATCAGTCACTTGCCACGTCACCTTCATCACCAGTTATGTCATCTTCTCTACACCTCCCATTCGCCGTTTTTTTTTTTCTATGCATTAATCTTCGTTTCACATTTACTTAAGTTTTACTGCTAGTTTTCTGTTTGGATAAATTCTATTGAAGCTTTTTTAATGCCACTGAAAATTCCATTGGTTAAAATTCCGTCGGACTTAATCCCAGGGAACATAAATCCATATTACAATATTTAACTAACCAGAAAATCACAAACTTAATCTAACCAAAATATAAAATTATCTCGCGGGGATTTTGTATATAAAGAAATTTCATTGGTTCGTTTCCACTACAGTAATTAAAGTTCATGTAGCTATATATTGTTATTTTATCTTCCTTCACACTAACCTTCCAACCTACCAAGAGGAAATAGCTAAATTAACACAAGTACTAGGGGAGGGAGAGAGAGAGAGAGAGAGAGAGAGAGAGAGAGAGAGAGAGAGAGAGTGAGTGTCATAGTATCTCTCTTGGCAAAGTTTGAGTAATATAAACCTTGCACACGTGTCATGTCAACAAAACCAACCACACAAGACAAATACGTCCCATACGACCTTCAAAACTCCCTCTTCGACCTCCAACACTTCCTTTACCACCTCCAACACTTCCCCTACGATCACCAACACTTCTCCTACCACCTCCAACATTTCCCTACCACATCTAATACTTCTACTACCTCCAACACTTCCCCTACGACCTCCAACACTCCCCTACGACCTCCAACACTTCCCCTACGACCTCCAACACTTCCCCTACGACCACCAACACACCCATACTACCACCAACACTTCCCCTACCACCTCCAACACTCCTCTACGACATCAAACACATCCCCTACTACGACCACCACCACCACCACCACCCTTACCACCACCAACACCTCTCCTACCACCACCAACACACGTGGGCGAACTCTACACAGTGTATAGGTGGACTTGCTACCTCGTGACCTTCGTTGGATAGCATCTTCTTGACCCTGCTGTCACGATAGAGTTAAATTTCGCGCCCCAAAAAAAACTTGGCGGGAAAGATTAAAGAGGTTGAAAAAGCCCAGGAATCGTAATGCTAATTTATGTAATCGAGTGAAGGAGGAAGAGGAGGGGAAGAAATGAAGATAGGGAAGAAGAGGAAGAAGGGGGGGCGAGGAGGAAGAAGGGGAGGAAGAGGGGAAGAAGAGGAAGAAGGGGGGCGAGGAGGAAGAAGGGGGCGAGGAGGAAGAAGGGGCGAGGAGGAAGAAGGGGGACGAGGAGGAAGAAGGGCGAGGAGGAAGAGGGGGAAGAGGAGGAAGAAGGGGGAAAAGGAGGAAGAACGAAAGACTAGAATAACCAGGACTAGAGAATGTTTAGAGGAGATGAAAAGAACAGAAATTAAACGAGAAATGACGGAGATAAACAATAAGGGCAGATGAAGAGGGAAGAACAGAAGAGACACTAATTTAGGATTGTGAAGAGAAGATAGATAGGAAGGAAAGCATAAATTAAACCGTAAAGGGTAAAAAGCGAGACGAAAAAATAAGGATGGAAGGAAAAGGAAATATACAAAGGAGAATACGAGAGAACTGGAAAGAGAGATAGAGACCGACAGATAATGAAAGACAAAATACCAAAGAAAATAAGACTGGTGTAGAGACGGAAGGAGGGGGAGAGGGAGGAGGGAGGAGAGAGAGAGAGAGAGAGGAGGAGAGAGAGAGAGAGAGAGAGAGAGGAGAGAGAGAGAGAGAGAGAGAGTAGTATTCCTACCCTTTTCTACCTGCTGTTGTGTCACCCTAAGACGTGTGGGCGGTTTGCACGTTTAGTAAGAAGTGTTGAGGGAGGGAGGAAGGAAGGGCGAAGGAAGGGGTGGGGAGGGAAGGACAAATGCTGTGTAGAGGGGAGGGGAGGGGAGGGTGTGTGAAAGGGAGGGGAGGGTGGAAGGAAAGGAGGGAGGGTGTGGAAAGGGAGGAGGGGTAAGTGAAAGGGAGGGAGGGGTGAATGGAGGGAGGGGTGGAGAGGGAGGGAGGGGGGGAGAGGGAGGGAGGTGGAAAGGGAGGGAGGGTGTAAAAGAGGAGGGAGAGAGGGTGTGTGAGAGGGAGGAGGGGTGTGTGGAGGAGGGAGGGTGTGAGAGGAGGAGGGGTGTAGGGTGCAGGGTGGGTACACAGTCACCACAAAACCGGAGTAGTTAGATATTATTAGTGGTGCAACCTGGCGACCACCACCACCACTACCACCACTACTGCTACCACCACCACTGCCACCACCACTACTGCCACCACCACCACCACACTACTACCACCACTACTGTTACCAATTAATTACTGCCACCACCAATTACTGCTACCACCACTACTGCCACCACCACCACCACCACCACCACACCACCATCACACCACCACCACCACCTCACTGCCACCACCACCACTGCCACCACCACCACTGCCACCACCACCACTGCCACCACCACCACCACTGCCACCACCACCACTGCCTCACCACCACTGCCACCACCACCACTCACCACACCACTGCCACCACCACCACTGCCACCACCACCACCACTGCCACCATCACCACTGCCACCACCACACCACCACCACTGCCACCACCACCACTACTGCTACCATCACTACTGCCACCACCACCACCACTACTGCCACCACCACCACTACTGTCACCACCACCACTACTGCCACCACCACCACTGCCACCACCACTACCACCAATACCTCCCCTCCCAGTACTCTATATAACAGGCCTATACAACAGCATCTCCTCTCCCTTCCACTAAGCACCTCGAGTCCTCAGTGTCTGGTAGCCTTCCTTGTTGACAGTGTGACCCTAACCTAACCTAACGTGGCTCCCTCTATCCTCGTCGTCCTCTGATGTACCGGATAAGAAAGGGAGAGATGATAGCTAAGGAGGGGAAAGAGATAAAGAAGAGGGAGAGGAAGATCAAGTAGTAGACATGAAGAAAAATGGAAGATGATGAAGAAGAGGAAGGAAGTGATGTAGGAGGAAGGGATGAAGTGGAAGAAGAGAAGATGACGATCAAGAAGCACAGGAAGATGGAGAAATAAAGGAATAGGAAGAAGCTGAAATAGAGAAAAAGAATTAGAAACATAAGTAAACGAGGAAAGGAGGAAGATGATGATGGTGGAGTGATGAAGTAACAGAAAAATATATATGTGTGTGTGTGTGTGTGTGTGTGTGTGTGTGTACGAAAAGACATTTATATCGCGTCTGGGGCCATAAAAATCAAGTGTCAAGCCAATTTTAAAACGTCAGAGATGAAAACATGTAAAAAGGACAATCTGGTGCGCTGAGAAAATATAAAATAGAACATAAATGAATCTTCGTGTTTACATGTGTGAATTGGCCTCTCTCTCTCTCTCTCTCTCTCTCTCTCTCACACACACACACACACACACACACACACACCAAAAAAACAGTATCGTGGCAACTCCGAACCACTGATCCGAAACGTCACCCACAGAGATTTCTTTCCTAACCTAAACTCACGGTAAATAAAATGAACTTAGAGAAGGTGTGAGAATGAGAACAGCCAGTCCGCGACAAATAACCTGGGCCAGGGATTATAAGGGGAGATCCTTCTTTTCACCAACACAATCTCAGGTCCTAAGCTACTGTACCTACAAGTCCACCGCCCCGATAAAATCCTGATATATCTCACGCCATATATAGAAGACTCGTCTATATAGGTTAGATCCGGCTTCCATGGTACTGAATGTATGTCATCCTTACTCCACCTCTAACCCTACAGAATATCCTACAAAAGTAAATATAATATCCTAGACTAAACTTAGAAAATTAATTCACCAGTACTAACACATCCTATACCAAATATCCTAACATTGAGATATCCTACAATAAGTACAATACTCGCATCCATCAATCCTAGGATTCTTGAGAGAGAGAGAGAGAGAGAGAGAGAGAGAGAGAGAGAGAGAGAGAGAGAGAGAGAGAGAGAGAGAGAGAGAGGTCAGCTGCAACGAGTATGACGTCATCCTCCCACACGTTCACACACAATAAACCCAACAAGATACTTAATAAAAATGCTCTAACTCTTCACTGTTGATAACCATTGTGTGACGCTACCCACACCACCACTCTATGCACACATATTTACGGCCACTGCACTTGTACACACAGACACACACACTTGTAGTTAAGTATGTGAACTAATGTCTACAGAACCACCTGTACGTAACACTATATATTTAGTGAGTGTGAATCATTATTTACAGTACTATATTATTGTACAATTTATCGTGGTAACTATCGTGTACAGAACTACCCCTGGGAACAGAATTGTATACTTCATGAGTTTTTACCTACTGCAGTACTTCAAATCACTTCTACAGTACGTACTTCCTAACATAACCCAAGTCGTCACACACAGTACCAAACCAACTTCATTCATGTCCCCTATGGTCGAAATACATCATAATTCCTCGCACTTCTTGTCTGTTGTCATCGCTGTCCACGTTAGGTTAGGTTAGACTTAGGTTAGGTTAGGTTTTCTTCACACATGTTTCCATTTTCTTCTTATCTAGAGTGTACTAAGTCTAGCTTGAATATAGGTCACGGGTCAATTATATTACACTACAGGTCACACTAGCGGATGCAGGGGGGGAGAGGAGGTCACGGCACCCGACTCGTGCAACCCAAGGTCATTTATGTGGATCTGACGTCACATATCCCCTAGTATGTGGATATATTGTGAGTCATGCGAGTCAGTTAGGTCTATACAAGCTGGTAGTGATGTGGTTATATTACTGGTACTGACTCACAAGATTATACTACTGGTACTGACTCACAATATTATACGACTGATACTGACTCACAAGATTATACTACTGGTACTGACTCACAAGATTATACTACTGGTACTGACTCACAAGATTATACTACTGGTACTGACTCACAATATTATACTACTGATACTGACTCGCACAAGATTATACTATTGGTACTGACTCATAGAACAAACTCTTACCATCAGAGAGGTGACTCCCAGAAACTGAAAGAAACAGAATAAGGAAAAAATATTATTAACAACAAACAGAAAAAAACCAACAGTAAAACGGGAGGGACGCGAGCCACCCAGAGCAACAGTAAGTTAAGGAACAGTGAAAATATTGAATAATAAAACGGAAACAAACTTGCAATATGAGATTAAAATATTATAGAAAGAAGGAAGAATAAAATAGAAGTAAAAATAGGGGAGATTAATAGAAAACACGGAAGAAAGATGGAATAGATAAAATTGATAATATAATGTGAAAAAAAATGAAAAAATGCATAATAAAGATGGAATTAATATAATGTATAAGATATAAGAATGAAAAGGCAAAATATAATAAATATTAGTATATGGAAGTAGAAGAATGTCAGGATAATGTAGATTAAATGATGAAAAATATGGATGGAGAGAAAAGCTAAATAAAGTAGGTAGTAAGGTAATAAAATAAGTAGAAGGAAGTAAAGGAAAATAAAGTCGATAAATATAAAGAATAATGGAAAAAAGGTAAAACTAATAAAAATATACATTAAATTAAAACACAGGTAAAACACAAGTAAATATTATGTAAATACGTAAAAAATTAAGCGAATGAATAACTGTTTTATTATTATTGTTGTTATTATTATTATTATTATTATTATTATTATTGTTGTTGTTGTTGCTGTTTTTTGTTATTGTTAGAGTTGCTGTTATTATAAATTAAATATCGATTATTATTATTATTATTATTATTATTATTATTATTGAAAGGGAGAAAACTAGCCATACATATAAACAAACATTGGTGGACTAGAAATTCTCACTAATATTATGAAATACACACACACACACACATACTGTATACATATTACATCCACACCCACACACTCTCCCACACGTAGACTCTCCCGCACGTACGCACTCCCACACGTCCACCCTCTCACATACATACACCCTCTCACATACGTACACCCTCTCGCATACACTCACCCACACAAGGGGTTAGCGTGACCAGTCAATCCACAGTGAGACCAGCAAATTAAACAAGCAGCGGAAATGGAAGGTTAAATTCATACAATTATCGCCAGAAAAACTTCCTTTACATACTGGGGTCAGGAGAAGCGTGTGAACCTAAGTCTGAGCGTATGTATGTATGTAAGATCATGATTATGTAAAATTAAATCGTTCTAGCTAGTTATTTTCCCACACAACAGCACACAGTAACAAATTCATTCACCCTTCATAGGACCCGACGTCTCCAATAGGTTTAAAAATTATTCACCTGTCACGTCCGTCACACCAACCCTTACACTGGGCCTCGCATTCCTATAAAAACAAAGGGAACAAAAACACAATCAACTGGGCCGTAAATCTAACCCTGTGGGAAGCGCGGGAAAAGTGTGGTACGTGGCGTCACAACAATAGCACGTGACCTGGTGTTTTTGTTTACATCCGGTGTGTGCGCTCCACTCCCGCCCTCACTCTACCTTGTATACCTGCTGTAGCAATAATTATTACAGGATAGTGATAATAAAGTAGAGTATATGATAATAATAATAACAATACAGAAGAAAAACAATCAATAATAATACTGTATCAACAAAAATAATACTTCAGGAAATTTTTAGGCACGTAGCAAGATCAATGGCAGGGTAAACACACACAGACACTCGGTATAGGGTATACACGTGAGAATGGTCTGGGTACGTACACAAATTTAATGGCATGCAGTAGAATGATTGGTAAAAACAGCCTGAGAACGTTAAGAGTTGAGGACTGTGGCCGCCAACCCCCAGATAATGAAGACAGTAGAACGATTGATGAAGTAGAATGATAATGTTAATATTAATGTCTGTGCTGTACCATAAATAGGGCGCCTGGTGAATGATCCCTTCCACCCCTTATACACATGCTTGTTGAACTGACGCCAGACGAGCCTTCCCTGTACCTAACACTCATGGAAGAAGCTACGCCAGACTAACGTTCGACACTCCTATGCTTCCGTGTATGCATTGACGGATAAATAATTTGTTTTATTTCATCTTTATATTACCCCTATGTAATTTCAAAAGCTAATTAAGCACACTATTACACCTGAAAAAATTATACGTTAAAAATCAATGCGGTATTACCTTAGCGCGCACACATACGCACACCATGTACACATACTAGTGGATGCGTCAATAATGGCGTGTGTGTATGCACGGTTTTACTCGACAACATGCACGGTATAACCCGGTTCAAGTCTACGCACTGTAAAAAACAGACAATTTCATTTTACTGCTGCATAAACTATATCACCTGGACACTCCTGATTCGTCAACACCACCAACAGTTTGACGTTTATTGGTCGGCATTATAAAACATCTTGGCGATCATTGGCTGCCATACCTATCTCCTTGATAATGACTGGCCAGCCATATGAAGAGACTGATGGTCATTGGTCGGCAATACGTGCATATTAGTACTGATTGAACGAAAATTTAAGCACCTTGACACTGATTGGGCAACAGTATAGACTTCTTGACATTGATTGGGCAGGATTAAAGAGTTCTTGACAATGATTGGCCAACAGTATAATATTCTTGACATTGATTGGCCAACAGTATAAAGTTCTTGACATTGATTGGCCAACAGTATAGAGTTCTTGACGTTGATTGGCCAACAGTATAGAGCTCTTGACGTGGATTGGGCAAGATTAAAGAGTTCTTGACGCTGATTGGCCAACAGTATAAAGTTCTTGACATTGATTGGCCAACAGTATAGAGTTCTTGACGTGGATTGGGCAGCACAGAATAAACCTTAAAGTAAAATCACACAGGAACAATATCCCCCAATGATCCTGATGCGTGACGTCATCAGAGGTATTCCTGAACATAAGAAATACCACACCACACAATGACCTCTTCCTTCCTCTTCTCCTCCCCCTTTCTTCCTCTTCCCTTTCTTCCTCCTCTCCTCTTCCTTTTCTCCTCCGCTTTCCTTATCAATCTTCTCCATTTCCCTTTTCCTCCTACTTCCCCTAATCCTTCCCTTAGTCCTCCTCCTCTGCTCCTCCTCCTCCACCCACCTACTAGGTAAGTAAGTCTTCCTCTATAAATCCATCAGCCACCGTCCGCTCACTCATCAGATTCTATCAACTGGCTAGCGTGTGGTCTCTCTCTCTCTCTCTCTCTCTCTCTCTCTCTCTCTCTCTCTCTCTCTCTCTCTCTCTCATGATCCTATTTTCCAGTTTTTCTCCCTTTTCCACATAATTCCCCTTCCCACCGGAACTCCCTCCTTCCCTTCCATCAAGTGTCTGTTAATGATGGAGTGTTTTTTTTGTGTGTGTGTGTGTGCGCGTGTGTGTGTGTGTGTGTTTCATACATACAGACGAACAGAAACCGGAACAGATTAAAAGAGGGCGGTGCCTCCCCCTCCTTATATATAAACTCCCTCTTGTCGGGAGGGGAGGAGAACGAGGAAGGGAGAGAAGGAGGGAGAGAAGGAAGGAGGGAGAGAAGGGAGGAGGGAGAGAGAAGGAGGGAGGAGAGAAGGAGGAGGGGGGGAGGGAGGGGAGGAGGGGGGAAGGGGAGAGAGAAGGAGGGAGAGAGAAGGGAGGAGGGTGAGAGGAGGAGGAAGGGAGAGGGGGGGTGGAAATATTAGGATGATGGCGGTAGGGGAGTGAGACAGTCCCCCCCCCACTCACTACCCAAGGGCCAAGGAGACTTTTAATCAAGTTAAGGGACTGACCACCACCACCGCCTCCCTCAGTTAAGATAAGATCCTATCGGGGTAATCACCAATAACTCCTGATTTAAATCCTAAGGCCTTTGACCTTCTCTTCCTCCTGTACCGCCATTTGGATTCACAAAACTTCCTAAGATTTTCCCCCCACTACATAACTACAGTAATTTAGAACCAATCTTACCTAACTCATACGACACAGATGGATTCTCAATGATTCGTATATTTTCGCTTTGTAATTTAACCCTCAATAAAGAACGTATCAAGTTAGGGTAGTAGAGTCTCAGGGGAATTTCGACGACATGTTGACAGTCTTCTTGGGTTACGTGAGTCAATGTGAGGAGTCATTACTTCACCAGTCAAGGGATAGGGGGGGGATTAAACCCAAGAGCCTTTGAGAATCTGTCCTCATGTCGTAGTTTAAGTGAGTCAGATGCGGTCTCGTGTTTCCAGTTAAAGTGGTAAATTTTGACGTAAGAAACTTTGATAAGCAGTTCTTGTTTCGTAAATAAAGAAAGACCGTAAAATATATCTTTATATAATTTAAGGAGGAAAATTTAACGTATGGGCCTTTGAGAATTCAGACCCGTGTTGTTACTTCCTTATACAACAATTATGACATTCAACAACAACAAAAAATCGAGAAACTACTGATAAAACTGGATAATTAATGGGCAGATCAAGATATCATGCTTGATTCCACAGTACATGCTATTAAGCCGCTATTTCCCCATTGAATATTTATAACACTTAAATAATAAATTGTGCCATATAAAGTTACAAATAGCCTAAAATTTTAAGCTGATTTTCTTTAAAGGGTAACATTAATATTTTGCTTCGTGGACAACTGTGTATGATTCTTGCTGTTCATATTGTCGTCTTTCTCTCTCTCTCTCTCTCCCTCTCATTTCCCCTTCAAATTCTCTCCCCCACGTTTCTCACCTCTCCCTCCCTCTCTCCCACCAGCATTATCCTCACCACCACCCCTCCCAAAATCACCACCACCACTACCATCTCTTTCCAACCACTATCACCACCAAAAATATCCCCCGACTTCCTCATGCCATCACTACCGCCCCCCTCCTCCCTTATACCCCCCTGAACATTCCTGGAATTAGATCAAGTCTCGTTATTAATAATAGTTTCCCCGGAGTATTACATAATAGGAACTATGGCGAGCCGACCGTGTGAGAGAGAGAGAGAGAGAGAGAGAGAGAGAGAGAGAGAGAGAGAGAGAGAGAGAGAGATTATAACACAACCAGAGTCCATGTTCCTTGCTATTTGCTTTAATAACTTCATTGACAAGATTGGAGTACAATTTTGCCTCATCGAAGTAGTTGAGCCAATTTTTAAGAACCAATTGAAGACCCTGGGCCACTGTGTACTGCCAGGAAGAGCGGCGAGTCTACACATAAAGTAGTGACGACTTCTTTACACGGTACAAAATTGGTCCTACTCGTTAATGTTACCTCGCAGATTAAATAATGTTGGACAGGTGAGCTTTGGGAACACAGTGTCAGGGTGTCTTTAATTTCGCCATGACCACACACACCTGTCTGCCGCGTCACTTCCTTATGATAATCTCTCTCAGCTCCTAACTACAGGAACGGCTGAAACGGAAGGAGGGAGCGTGAGTGCGAGAGGCTGGAGGGAGGGAGGGAGCGTGAGTGCGAGAGGCTGGAGGGGGAGGAGGGAGCGTGAGTGAGAGGCTGGAGGGAGGGAGGGAGGGAGCGTGGGAGGAGGAGGCTGAGGGGGGAGGGAGGGAGCAGGCTGGAGGGAGAGATGGAGCGTGAGGCGAGAGGCTGGAGGGAGAGGGAGGAGGAGGAGGGAGCGTGAGTGCAGAGGCTGAGGGAGAGAGGGGCCGTGAGTGCGAGAGGCTGGAGGGAAGGAGGGAGCGTGAAGGCGAGAGGCTGGAGGGAGAGAGGGAGGGTGCATGGGTTAGAGGTTGGGGAGATAGTGGGTGATAAAATGGGAGAGGGCGGATGAGGGGTTGGGGAGAGAGTAGGGTGATGAGCTGGGAGGGGGTGGGTGAGAGGCTGGGGTGATAAAGTGGGGAGAGAAAAAAGAGGGAGAGTGAAGGTGAGATGCCAGTAAAGCTCTCAGTTTATTGCCAACAATATTATGGTTATGACAATCTCCCCTCTCCTATGCCCCCCCCCCCCCCCCTTCACCCTTTCCTCCTACCTCCCTCCTTCCATCTCCCTCACCCACTCTCTCCCAGGAATAGTGAGAAGGAGACCCTGAACACATCACCAACACACATCTTGTCCCCCAACAGATCTTTCTCTCAGTGACCATCGTAAACACCCCCGTCACAAGTAGTGTTTTGTCTTCTGTGGTTTTCATCTTCTTGTCAGTGTTGTTGTGTTGTGAGGGCCGCTTGTGCCAGGACTCTTTATTTTACCTAATGAAAGATTTATTGATGTGTTTATAATTATTACTCCTACTGACGAAGGCCCCAGCGGTGGTGCGTGAGTAGAGTGGACAGTGAGTGCCAGCTTTAAATGCAGATGAGGTATATATTTGGCCTGGACAAGCCTTAGAGCGCTTTCATTTGGGGATCAAGAGGTCAAAGGTGAAAGGTCATCACTCAATATGCAAGATTGTCGTCATAAGTTAATAGACGGTGAGAGATCCGGTGTCCCTACTAGTTATTCATATATTAACTTCTTCAGTGTGTGTGTGTCAAGGGGACGGTCGCCACTCAAACTCCTGATATTTTGGGAAGGGATTTTCATGTAAGTTTGTTTTGGCTCACAGGACAAAAGCTGTCAAGAAGCAAGGAAAACAAAGAGCGTAAACTTGGGACTATTTTTTCAGTGTCTCTACAAGGAGGCGTCACCATCTTATATACTGTGGTTCTTCAGAGACTGCGGGGTTATATAAAGTATTCACCGTGAAACAAAATTTGAGACAGCCTAATATAGCCAAAACCTAACCTAACCAAGATATCATCGATTTACTTTGTTTTATTTGGGTTAGGTTAGGTTTGATTGGGTTAGGTAAGGTTAGGTTACAAAAAGTTTCGTTAGGTAAAGTTAAGTCAGGTTAGGTTAAACCAGATTAAGTTAAAGGCCTTTAAAACGTAGTGCTGCAGGAGAGGGTTAAAAAAATAACCTACAGTATAATGAAAACAAAAATGAGGAAATGCTAAATTACCTAAAACGACGAGAAAACACTTTGAAATTTACAGAATAAGAAAAGTGAGACAATTTGAGCGGGTTATTAGGGGTGAGGAGATAATGGGTCGAGATTATTAAATGGTTGAAATTGTGAAGTAGGAGGACCAGGGGTGGAAGACAGAGATTGGGACAGATGAACGGGATAACAAGATGTGTGGGCTCCGGAAAGATACATAATGTGGGAGGAGTGAAAGACGAAATATACTCTCTCTCTCTCTCTCTCTCTCTCTCTCAGTATCACCATGGAGGTAACACAGCCCAGAGAGAGAGGAAGGGAATGTCGTGATATTTCAGACTGCCACTTCAGGTCTTGTTACCCTGGCCTGCCACACCTCAGGGAATGTTCACGAGAGAGAGAGAGAGAGAGAGAGAGAGAGAGAGAGAGAGAGAGAGAGAGTACTTCCTCCACTCAAAGACCAGCCCCCCCCCCCTCTACTACACCAGCTGGCTAAATAGGGGGTACACTCGTCTTTCTCTCAAACACACCAGGATCAGTGACCAGCCTGGCTATGGTCGGGTTAGTCGGGGGTATATTGGCATGACCTCTGACCCTGTAGGAGAGTAAAGGAATGAAAGTAACTCCCAGGAACTAAATAAGATTCTTCAGGGAGGCGAGACAATGTGCCTACAAGAGTGTTCCAATATTCTGTAGTTTCAGCCCTGTTATCATTGTTGTTGTTTACTTTGTATGTGTGTTAGTCGGAGTAAATAAACTTGTTTCTTGTTTGTCTTGTATCTATTTTTTTCCTGGTTAAATAAACAGTGAACTCGATAACTAATCTGCCACGGTTACTTATCTCCTGCCAGAGGATACGAGATGACAGGACCTAATGTATCTACAGTAGCTGACGGAGCAGTCAAGAAGCTCGAGCAACTACCTCTACCACCATGGTCTTCCATCCACCATCGTCACTACCCATCACCACCACTCGCCACCGCCGCCACCATCACCACTACCACCACCATGATACACCCAGAAGACATCCCCTATGACTCGTTCTAAACCAAAAATTCACAGAGGACGCCATTGCTTCCCCTCGGCCATACTTGTGGGTGTATTCAGCAGCCATTAGTGTTAATACCGGGCCCCCACACACACCCTCAAAAGACCCCCTACGCACACACACACACACACACACACACACACACACACACGTACGTACACGTTTTTCCACGTTTATATAACATGATAGAAGATAGCGTTACGATATCAGAAAATGAACAACTTAAGAGGGTACCTAACCTAACCTAACCCAACCTAACGATCATTAACCCGTAAACGAGATAAAACAGCACACTCCCTTGCCCTATAGGAAACAAGTATACCCACTAACCCTTTAAGTACTTGCTGAACTCGGCACTGGCAGCTAAACTTAGGTTGTGTTCTCAGTATTCGTCAGTGTTCATGGTGTGGGCCCGGTGACGTCATCCAACTGGTAAATATTAGTGCAATTGTTTGACAAGTTTGAGGGGTGAGGCAAAGGGGGAGGAGTAGGTAGGAGGATGAAAGGGAGGAGGGGGAAGGATAGGTAGGAGGGGGAAGGATAGGTAGGAAGGGTAGGCGAGGGGAAGTAATGGTTAATGGGACACACACACACACACACATAGGTAAGAATCCTTCGAGACAGATAAAAAGGAAAGGAGAATGGGAAAAAAAGAACCGAAAGGAACAGAGACAAAAGAAGGGATAGTGGAGGGAATGAGATAAGAAGGGGAAGTCGAGAGAATTGGGAAGTAAGAAGGAGGAAGGGAGAGACAAGGACGGAAATGCAAAAAAGAAAGGAAGGGAAAAGAATGGAGAAGTAGACAGAAATAATTAGAAAGACCAGAGAGAGAGAGAGAGAGAGAGAGAGAGAGAGAGAGAGAGAGAACATATCTGCTGCTGAAGACTGAGGAAAATGGGAAGGAACGATAATAGTGACAACATACAAGAGAAGAGAGGAAGTGAGCAAGACGGAAGGAAAAGAAACAAATATGAAGAGGAAAGGAACCAAGCAAGCATGGAAGAGAAACAAGAAGGAAGGAAGGAAGTGAGGAAAGAACCAAGGGAGGAAGGAAGGAAGGAAGAAGGAGGAGAGACATAGAGAGGAAGTGACTGAGAGCAACAGCATCAAGCAGGGTCGACCAGCTGGGCTCAAGAGCTATTGTTGGTAATACTGCCATTTCCTCTCCCCTCCCTTTCTCAGTCATGCACCCCCATTCCCTGTTCCCTATAGCGTACACCAAACACCACCTCACCACCACTACCACCACCACTATCATCCTCCACTAGTCATAAACAAACAGGTGATAGCTATTATTACATGATCAACATAATAACAACCCACGTCACAATCTTAACGACCCGACAAATAGTTAAGATGAATCACGCACGACTTAAATGTTTGTAAAGGAGCCGAAATTTGTGGACGACTTGTAGAAGATAAAATAATTCGGTGAGTTTTGTTTATCTTGGCGGTGTTTACTGTACGTGATACTAAAGCGTTACTACTGACGAACGTTAGTCTGGCGTACGAATGTGTCATTGTGGGGGTGAACGGAAGGCTGGCGAATGTTAGTCTGGCGTAGCTTCTGTAACTGTATCATTGTGGGGGAGGAGTAAAAGCTGGCGAACGTTCGTCAGAGAGGAAGAAGGCAACAGCACCAAACACTGTTGATGACAGCTCATGCTGGCGATGCGTTGCTCGTGCTGGCGTAATTGCAAGTTACATCAATACATACCGTGTTGGCTGCCAGAGTCTGACGTCACACTTGACTCACCTGAGGAGGAGAAATACAAAGTTTAAATGTGATGTACTGTAACTCTTGTCGCTGTATTATGTAATCTTGTAATATACTGTAATTCTTTGTAATATAGAATAACAGCCCAACAAAACCACCATCCTGTACGGAGTTACCTCACTACAGTTCACCAGTCGGCAACATTACATAAAAATTCAATGAAAAACAATTTGCTTAATTTTTCAGTGTCTACTAAACTAAAGCCAAATGTTTACAAATAAATATTCAATAATTGTTTTGTCTGGTGTGGCAACTGAACTGAGGAGGGACCAACACACACAAAACACACACAACCGCATCCAGCCCATACGTGCACGAACTGATCGCTATAAGAACAGCCCAGTCCCAACCATTGTAAAAATTATCAATAACTTGTAATAGACCAGTGTATTCACTCCCAGTAAACACTACTCCTTGCACTGTCACTATGTTGAAATGCACTGTAGTTTGAGCTTTTCTCCATCTAGTTATCATATATCTTATTTATATCACTTATGTTATTTGTATATTATTTGTAATTCGAAACCCATTCCCCAAATATGTAACTGTATATTTTGAGCCTTCTGGCTGCCAAGCTCTTTCAATAAACCGTTAATTTTTATTATTATTATTATTACACACACACACACACACACAATGCACGTAATTAATTATCAATTTTTATCACTCTCGTACACCATTTCCCATGAAGACGGTGGGTGAGCAAAAAATAAAAATAAATAAAATAAATAAAGAATGAATGAATGAATAAATAAATAATAAAAAATATATAAGACTCCCCCTTTATTATTCATCATTCATCCATACACCCAGTTGTAAAATAATTATAGGCCTATAAATCTGGATGAGAGAGAGAGAGAGAGGGAGAGAGAGAGAGAGATATTTCAGTAAACTGCACCAATAAGAAATAAAAGACTTATTAAACCACCTTAAGTCGCACACCGGGATAACTAATCTCTTTAATCACAAACAACAACAACAACAAAAAATGAAGAAGAAAATCAAAAGGAAAGATGAAGAAAAATGAAAAAGCTGATCAGTGGATATATTCAAAGGTTTATTTAAATGTAAGTGTATCAGCTGATCTGTTTGGGTACCTACACCACCTGCTACTGAGAGAGAGAGAGAGAGAGAGAGAGAGAGAGAGAGAGAGAGAGAGAGAGAGAGAGAGAGAGAGAGAGAGAGAGAGAGAGTCAAACGCTCAGAGAAACAACAGATTGATACCGTCACACACACACACACACAAAACAATCTCAACAATATATTAAAACACCTGTATAAACTAAAACACCTGTAGGACTTAATACTTAATAAATAAATAATACCTGAGTAAGGGCGGGGGCAGAGTGCCACAGTTTACGAGCAAGAAAGGAACATGGCGAGATAAAGCTCAAGTGGGGCTATTTTCCGACTCTGGGTAGTGCGACGCTCAGCCTTATACACTGAACCCCAGCATGTTGTTGTGTTTTTCCCCCCTCCTCCTCACAATACCCGTCTCTAGGGCACTTCCGGGTTGTGATCAGATGGGTGAAAATAACCAGCTTTATAAGGAAATTCTATAAGGTGTTTGAAGTAATCCTCTCAAATTCCAGACTTCTAGAAAAACGTACCATTATTTTTTACTTAGTTTGGCTGCCGTCTTAAGTGTTGTAAAAGTATATAACTAAACTAGTTAAGTAAACGTTCACAGGTCATAGCTTGAGGGAGACAGAGTGATGGATCTTGAGACTCCATCTTTGTGTCTGAAAGTAAGTGAGCCACGTACTGTAGAAGGAGGGAGGGAGGAGGGAGGAGGGGAGGAGGGAGGGAGGGAGGGAGGAGGGAGGGTACTTACAGTAGGAACGTTTAAGGATCGTAAGGAAGGAGGGGCACAGGGGGAATGGGGGCGTGAGGAAGGGATGAGAGGGGGGACGGGGATGAGGGGATGAAGGGGGATGTGGGGAAGGGGAGGAGAGGGGGGATGTGGGAAGGGGAGGAGAGGGGGATGCGGTGAAGGGGAGGATAGGGGGACGAAGGGAGGGGAACGTGGGGAGGGGAACGTGGGGAGGGGGGCGAGGGGCGAGGGGAAAGGGACATTGGAAGGGGAACGTGGGGAAGAGGGACTACCAGAACGACCACGAGAACGACTACCAGAACGACAGGAACGACGACATGTTGGCAGAGGATGTCACCATTTGGGCCGGCAGAGGCAAGATAGTGTTAAGAGTTGAGTACCTCCAAACTGGTTCATAAAGTGTACTTCAGGCACTTACTGAGGGAAAGGTAGAGATGGGGGGGGTGGAAGAGAAGAGAAGAGTAGAGTAGAGTAGTAGAGAGAGTAGTAGAGAGAGAGAGAGAGAGAGAGAGAGAGAGAGAGAGTGCGCTTGGTCCTCCGGTATTATGGTGAATAAAATCATGCATTGCTCTCCGTAACAACAAAAATAACATCATCTTTGTGTGTTTACAGTCATGAGGCGCGACAGAGACCTAAGCGCTATAGACCAACTGATAAATCAACGTTACTTTGATCCCTTGTTTATTCCGTCTGTTTATTTCTGTTAACTTACAAACGACGCGAAGAAATATTAAAAAAAAAATATTTCACCTTATATTGTTGATTAGACTTGATGTTTTTGTTAATTTAATTGTTCTTAATCTCTTGAGTACGCTGGTTGATTACCTTGAGTTTACGATGATATTGTACTCGAGGAATTAGGTCATCGTACTCCAGGGGTTAAAGCAGTTTTATCAAGGGGTTAACTCACCATCCTCAAGGGGTTAAATCATGTCCTCAGGGGGGTTAAGCATCGTACTCAAGGGGTTAAATCATCGTACTTATTGGAGTAATACTCTACATAACACAAAGTCCTAAAATTAATCATATTTTTCCTTCATGTATTATTTATCAACTTAGCCAAAGGAGTAACAACAACAAAAACTTAATTCATATCTTTGGTCTAAACTAAAAGAGATCATTAGCTAGTTGGTCAAACACACCTCAAAACACCCGACACATGTTTAGTGATTTTATACTTCTACCCATGTACCCTACTATTTACAAAACCATAATCTATAATCCAGCGCCACTCATATGTATAATCACGCGAAGTTTTAAGTCACAGATACGATTTACCTCTCTATAATCCAGAGCCACTCATACGTATAATCACGCGATGTCTTAATACTGTCACAGATTTACTTCCCTATAATCCTATGATAGTCTTTTAGTTTGCCTTAGTTTACTGTGTTTAACTGAACTGATTGGTCACAAATACACACGGAGACTCGAGAGCCCACATATGCCGGGTCAGCTAGTGCGGTGACAAATGGCGAAGAGGATAAAGTAAATAAACAATATCTGGTCTACTAAATATTAATTGAAGTCAAAATGATTGAAGTCAAGACCCCATAACCTGACAGACGCTCTATGATCACGTGATATGTGTTGTGGTCTCGTCAGCAGTTATTTTTTGGATGACAACTCAGTCCTTGTCGAATTGCAACCCCGAGTAACTTTTATATATCAAGTCAGTCAGGAAATTATGTACTGTACACAAAAACAGACACTATTGCATATTATTTATTATGGCGAAACGTGGATAGCATGTACTAGATATGTTGTTTAAAAATGTCATATATTAGGTTGGGTCGACACGATGCGGGGAACTCCTCTACCGACTGCGGCCGACTGTAAACACACTGTGACGTTATCGCGAGAGAACCGATTCAGGTGACCGCTTTAAAGTGGGTCAGAACCTACACACAGGCAGGGAGTAACAGATCCACGGAACAACTGCCAAGAAATGAAGGAGGTTTGAGGAGGGAATAAATATATTGATATAAGTTATCCCTTTTAATGGCTTGTCGGTCTTTGAAGCCTGTAAGATACTGTGACTTGTGTAAAAATAATTAAAGGTTTATTGACAATTACATCAGTCATAAGTTGATGATATACAAATGATATAAGAGGTACATATAAAATGCATACAAGGGAGACGGTTGTGTGTGTGTACGTATATTCAGCTCTGTAAAAAGTACGCATGTCTACATAGGTGTAAGTTGGCTAGTGTGTGTGTGTGTACGGATACAAGTGTACATTAAGCTTTTTTCACAAATACTCCCCAAGGGTGACTGGGTAACCCCGTTTGACCTGACCTGGTTCCAATCTCCGTACACTAGGCCAGGTTGTCGATTCCTCACCGCCCGTAACACTAACACTGCCACTCGGACCTGATCTCACACCTCTGGCCTCTACAAACGCCATGTCAAGGAGACCATTATAAATTGCCTCAAATGCCATAACCATCTGGTCATTGTATACATTGTCTTCTAGCAGGTTACTCTGTGATTTTATCGGTGCCAAAAGCCAGAGGTGTAATAAGAACGCCTGCACGAGCAATCCTCTGGTGACTAGGCCAGACTATACGTTCGTCAGCCCTCCTTCCACCCCACAATGACATACTTATAGTTAATACGCCAGACTAACGTTCGCTAGTCTTTCCTCCACCCCACAATGACCCACTTCTGGAAACTATACTACTAACATTGGCCAGGCATCTGCTCACTCTGGCGCTCTCTTACGGCGGGAACATCATTAAAAAGTCAACATGAAACACACAGGAAGAGGACCTACTTACTACCCGTCAGCAGAGTGTAAACAAAAACATCAACAACATAACAAATGTCTTCTGATAAATCTTGACAGTAAAATTATAGTGTTTACCGGAGATTATTATATGTCTATGTTGTACACTAGAAGAGGGCGTGTGTTGGCGACCTCTCAACTCTTATTTAACATCATCAGGACATTTTAGGACATATTCTCTCAGGTGTAACGCAATTTAGCTTAGAAACCCGTCAACAGGTAGAGTCTTTGTGGTGGTTGGTGATTGATCGTTCCGCTTTGTCCCACTTCTTTCTGACTCGCTAATATTCATGCGTCATTTGTGCGTCATGCGTCATTTGTTTCCACTGTATGAGAATGTGACCACAGTACTAATTTACTTAAGCAACTCTACATAATTCATTCTCTAATACTGAATTACTCTCTTAACTGGGGTTGTTAAGAGTGCATCTGACGGACTCGCTAAGCTACGATACAAAGTTGGTTTCTCTAATAATCTTACGTTAATTCTTCCTCTTAAATGAGTAAGAGTAAATTGCAGCTCTCTCTTACACACACACAAAGTAACATGACCTCTCGTTCCTCATCCCTGACGTCAAGACTTCACAAGCAGCCATTGTCCTGCCAGCAAGAACTATACACACACACACACACACACACACTGTCATGTTAAGTGTGTGTTTGTGTGTGTGTGTGTGTGTTTCATCACTAAACAAAACCAGAGAATTAATTATACTTGTGTACGGAAAGCTAGTGGTGTGCGGCGGTGGTGTTGGCCAAGTGGATTCATCACTCGGCTCCTGTCCTAAGAGTCGTTGGTTCAAGCTTGGGACGCCCCCTATAGTCCACCCAGCTGTAAATGTATACAGAGGTGAAGCCGGTCGAGTTCCTTAGTTTGTTGTATCTACACTGTACTTGCCTGGCCCTGGAGCCTTGATACCCACTTTTACTTTTTTTCTCATAATGTCAATAGATGAATAAGAATTCCTCATATTAATGTATATATCATGAATGAATGAGTTGATGTGTATGGTTGACTTTGAATGAATGAGTTGATGTGTATGGTTGACTTTGAATGAATGAGTTGATGTGTATGGTTGACTTTGAATGAATGAGTTGATGTGTATGGTTGACTTTGAATGAATGAAGAATGGTCAGTATCAATGAGTGCGTATGAAAACCACAAATGAATAAGTTTGCGCACGTGAATGAATGTATAAGTGAGTGAGTTTTGATATGTGTACATTAAGAGGGGCATGAGAGAGCCGAGTAAATGGTTCACACTCACGCACACTATTTCAGTACTAGTGTCTGTTCGTATGAGTCTGTTTAACTGTCTACGTCTCTGTCTGTCTGTTTGTCTTCTAAACATTTTACACCATTAATCAGAAGGACGAGATTGGTATTTGAATGACACTTAATATCCCCATCTTTAACAGTTAACAGCTATTAAATCTCAGTTCATTCTTAAGGGCCTAATAGTAAAGGTCAATTGAGCGTGAAGCCTTGGCTGGTCAGGAGGTTTGGTAAGATTGTTCTAGATTCGGGTAAGGAGGTGAATGAGATCTGGTCGGGGTATATGTGTGTGTGTGTGTGTACCGTCAGTTCTGTCTTCTGGTTGTACCTGGTCTGGTGCCTGTTGGGGTACGTGGGGGTACAGTGGCCTTCAAGATGACACTAAGGTACGTATTGTGTATCCTGTATCGTAAGGCCAGTAACAGTGTGAAGGTCTGCCCAGCCTCTTCTCTCGGTCCCATTTCACCTACTGGAGATAAGTCTACTAACGACCCCGAGGACGAAGATTTTTATCATGGATATTTGTATAACCTTTTTTTCCAGGAGACTTTTGTGCCAAACTAAATCAAAGGTGCCAGTGTTAACCAATGGAAAAGTTCAATTGGTTCTGGAGTAATCAAATGCCGGGTCTAGTGCCAAATAGTTGATTGGTTCTGTCTCCGAAATTTCACCAGTGACTGACAGCAGCGATACTGTCTCTTACACGACCTTCACACCTTTTCCCACAGGGCAAATCACCCACACTATGTCAGGCAGTCTTGGTAAAGTACAACAACAGGGTGTGCTAGTTGGTCCTCTTGGTGAGCTTGTGAGGCCTCTAGATTTTATCCGTATCCAGTTATGTTAAGGATGTGGTGCATATCTTCCTGTCCAGCTGTTACCTCGTACAGCCTCGATGCGGCTAGCACAGATGGTCAGGGAGGAAAGGCAGCCACACCACCACCACAGCCACCACCAAAATGAGGAGCGAGTAAATCAGCTCTTTCTGAGTTGCAGCTGCAGCAGTTCCTTTGTGGAAGTTTAGTGAGCTCTGGAGAGTAACTTTGGCGGTGTTTAACAGGAGACCAACAGAAAATAACGCCATCAGTTTCTCCTAATTTTGTCTTGGCATTTGCTTCCCACTGAGAGATGGCCCAGTGGTGTACTTGTTCTAGTCACCGACGTACTCACTGCTGTACTCGTCGTTTCATTCACCAATATCTAATCCATGAGGGTTCTTGTTATGTGTATGAACCGATAACTTCTGTACTTCACCTCAACTAAGTACAGTAATTTAGCATCAATCACCTCTTGATATATAAAATCAAACTGATTAAATACGAGTTTTTGTCCCACACCGATGATGGACGATGTATCCAAGATAAGTAAATAATTTCATTTATAAATACAAAAACGGACATCAAGTACTCGAATACGTGACTTACGTAAGGTGGACATTGGCAGGAATGATGATGTCACTTGAATCACCATACGGAGGCAGGGAAATAATCTTCCCGTTTATTCCAATTCATCAACAAGTTATAATGTAACGTTAATAGTCAATTATTTTAAAGTATTTACAAATCAATTACGTTTTCATATATACAGTACTTACTCTTAATTGTGTTTTTGTATTGTAATAAATAAAAATTAATTCAATTTTGTTTTAATGTACAATCAAACCAACACACACTTGACTATTTTATGTCATTGTGAGTTAGTTAAGGCATCAAAATAAAATTATTATAGCCCAAATTATTAGTTAAGTAAATAAAATTAAATCAATAAAAACTCGAATCAATATACTGTATTTCACTCAATAAAATAACAAACACGTCATCGTAATTATTCTCTTCACTTAAAGCACACCAATAAAACTCTTAACTTTAAATACCAGATTAATCTCGTTTTAGTTGAAACAGCCCACTCGGGTAAATTAATAGAGAATACCTGTTCGTTAATTCGTAAGAGGCCACCAGATTAAACACTACATACCATAATCTGTCAGCATATTGGCGCTAGCAGAGGCTGAAATAAGAAAGAGTGATACATTAACTAGAGTTAATATATGTATATATGTATGTATGTATGTGTGTGTGTGTGTGTGTGTGGTTAATTATCAGCCAAGACGGGAACTCAACAACCACACCAGTACCCATAAACAATATCTACAAGAATAAGAGACAGGTGGCAATTACCGCGGGACTTTGCTGCTGTCCAAATCTGGTAACATCCTCCCGCGAGTCCTCAACAGACCTAAAGAGAGAAACTTTTTCCCAGTATCTTATGTGACTTTAGTCCACCCACAGTACCACTGACATGACCTCTCCTGCCCGTCAGATACAGAAGTAAAGAACAGCTCCGTGACTTGAGCATGGCCTTCATTGACCTTACTAAAGCCTTTGAGTCAACATGGAAACCCTCGTTTTGGTTGCCCACCAAAATTTATCGCCAATATCAAGCAACTCCAAGGTGGCATGTGGGGCAGTGTCCTTCATAATCTCACCCAGTTGGATTTCTCTCCCACCTAAACAGGGTAAAGCAGGGAAGAATACTGGTACTAACTCCCTTCAATTTTCTTGGCTGCCTTCCTTATCCACTCCAGTGCCAATCTAGCCGGTGTGGTGAGCATCCAATACCGGATGAAGGGTCTCTTCAACACAAGACGACTCCAGGCAAAGACAGAGGTGTTGGATTCCATCACCTAACTCCAATACGCAGACCTCACCCTCGTCACTCTTACTGAATACGATCTACAGGAGATCCTGCGCACCTAGTCGGTTACATATGCACACGACTACCTTAAGGTCCAACCACGCCCCACCATCTATCCATGTTAACGAGATCACCCTCCCCAACGTTAACCATTTCCAGTACCTTGATTCCCACCTGTCCATCACAGCAGACATCGATGAAGAGATCCAACATTGCATCAGATGTGTCTCGAGCCTTTGGCAAACTGTGTAACCATGTCATCAGCTGCATAGATATCAGTGGTCCTTCCCATCCTGCTGTATGGCAGCGAGACATGAGTTACATACAGGAGACGCCTCGAAGTACATGAGAACTTTCACCAACCTATTCTACGTTCCATCCTCCGCGTCTGCTGCGAAGACAAGAGAACAAATGCCAGTATTCTTGGTGACACCAACTGTAGGAGTATCGAGGCTGACATTAAAAGATGAACAATTCATTGGACCAGTCATGTTACTCGCATGGACGACAGTTACATAAAGAACAGCAAACGTAACGTTGGCGGGCTACGAAAAGGGTACAGGGACAGTCTTAAGACAAACCTGAAAAAGTTATCAAATCGACTCCCACGTGGGTGACGATCACTCCACACTGTAACGTTTGGATGATCATCACAAGAGTTGTAAAATTTTCGAGTTAGTTCGACTGCATACTGAGGCGAACAAGCACCAGCCTCTCATACTACTTCGGAGCCCACTAACGAAATGTGACGTAACTTATAGCTCATATTATTGTGCCATCCCTGGATGATCGTCACCTTGATTCTGAGTGACAGCAAGTGGTTTCTAGTATTAGTAGTGCGTGCGTGCGCAAGTGTGTGTGTGTGTGTGTGTGTGTGTGTGTGTGTGTGTGTGTGTGTGTGTGTGTGTGTCGCCCGCTTTGGTCCTGCCAGACACACTATAACTCAACAGTGAATCAACAAAGCGAGAATTTCCTCCACATTTCACCGTAAAACACTTGTACCCAAAGATCAGGCAACGTGTCACCAATCTGTTTTTTGTCAAATCTAATTCGTGCAAAGAACATTTACAACAAACAGCAAAACTGATAAAATTATGAAATAAACAATACAACATCCAATAAGTATATAGGAAACAATTTATAAACGAATAATAAAAAAAAATAGGTTTCGAGTCCTGAAGGAGGGTCTTGGCGAGTCTTGCCAGAAAGCAGTAAACTCCACCAAATTGGTATTTCCTACTTACTCAAATTGCTGCACCCCCGTCTCCCTTAAGCCATGAGTCTAGATTCTCAAATATTCGGAAGTCTAGTTTTTCAGCCAAATACTCAACCATTCATAAGTCTCACCCTCCACTCCCCTCCTCACAGCCGTAATAGTTAAGGGAACGTATCTAGTTACGATAGATTTTCCTCGACACCTGGCAGATCTAAGAACGCATCTACCAGGCTGCCATAAAGCTTCACATTATCCAAACATCCGATTACATCCTAAAAAAAAAAGAAAGTCCCACTGGCTGCCCAAGTGCCCATCCCAACTCGACCCTTAACAGAACGTCTCAGTTAAGTCTCACAGACCCTCACCAACGCCACAACCGCTACAGAAATTTGTAAACAAAAACACCCATACACCATAGCCCTCACCCGTGACTCAGCATTACCGTGGCTGAGGAGGGGGTGCTGCAGTAGTTACTCGGGTCGTCACGCAGAACGCAAGAACTTGAGGCGGGGACGATCCATCTTCATCCCGGAGGTAAACTGGAGCTCAAAGGCGACTCTGTTGGTGTGATGCTGTGAATGGCGATGACTTACAGCCCCGTCCCGCCACACTGAGTGAATAACGCCCGTGATGATTGTCCTCGTTAGCACCGCTCTGTCATGGTAACCTATGTTTATGTGTCGCGTTCGTGGGCTCCTCATCCGGCTTGAATCCAGCACAGGGACGACTTCTAGCCTCTCGAGAATCAGCCTTGAATCCGTTTTTACAGCAACTGGCTACATAAACTCAGGTCATAAGTGTGTTCGTAAACTTACATAATGCTGCATTTTTTATTACTCTCTCTCTCTCACGAATATACGTGAAGAAAAAATTAATGACCAGCTAAGACCAATACTTTAGCTTCCATGAATAACGTGGGGAGAGATAGATAAATAAATACAGAGAGAGAGAGAGATTTCGTACACTCATTCTATCGTCCTCTTTTTACTCTAATTTCACAAAATTGTTAAATGACCAGCGGGTGTGTGACGCCCCCACCTGCAGCCCTGACCTCGCCCTTCCCTCTCTCTCTCGCTGCGTGGGGGTAAATATGACTCTCTCTCTCTCTCTCTCTCTCTCTCTCTCTCTCTCTCTCTCTCAATGAAGGAAATGCCTTTTTTTTTATTTTACTTACACTGTATTACACATTCACATGGGGTGAGCTGATCGAGTAAATAAATTGCTCACCACCTAACTAAACCTCAGTTGTGAATAGGTACGTAACTTTACAGCTGAAGAAAAAGAATGTGATCAAGTGCAGTGTCGGTCAGTTTGTCTCTATGTGTATGGAAAGAAGACGTAGTTTACAGTGTGTTGTATTCCCGCGTTTGTTTCTGATGGTGATAAGTTTCCGAGAGTCATTTTCCTCTTAATTAAAAATGGAACGAAACCAACTTTTTTTTTCGTACACGTTTTAAATACGAAACACAATAATCATCTTCTCTTTCTACACACACACAGACAGACAGACACACCATCGAATCGTCTTTAAACCCAAGAAGTAAGACCCGAAGAAGCACTGAAGACTTACAAGACCAAAACAACAGCCTGAAGACACACCTGGTGAAATGAACAACACATGATGGGCAGACTAACGGGTCACTCTTAGCCTCTTGAGCTCGATGACAACCCCTCTTAATACAGTCAAATACCCCTCGTATCAAATGCCTTCCTTCAGTTCAATATCAGTCCTACAATGACCTAATCTCAATATTGTACTCTAGGGGTTAAAATAAATCACATAAGAGTCAAAGTAATTGTGCGTAAGTCTGGTGGTAAGATTCCCCAGTTAAACACGGTCATGGCCTCGGCTTGATGACTTCCCCTGTACATAATCTACCAACTAGGGAGATGATCTGACGGTATATTTCACCCTCAAGTTCCTCTCCTGGATGTCGGGTGTAATTCAGACACTCTCCCCACTCGCTCATAACCCGGGACGATATACTTCAATACACTTCTCTGGTTTAAAGGACAACAATATGAAGAGGAAATACCACCAGTAATCCAAGAAGATCAAGACAGTTTCCCTCATCACTTGGAAGACCACAGCGTCGGTTTACAGAGGCACATCGAGTGTTTACGAGGTAGACGCTTGTATGGGAAAACAAGACAGTAAATACCGATGTCAATAAGAAGAAAAAAACAGGAAAAACAAAATAAAAATACCGTAGATAGTTTATAAAAGGTGATCTGTGCGTTCTAATGTAACTATCCTACAACCACCATCAGTCAAAGGCAGAGTAAACTTTTTGTTTGCGACTTCCTCCCACTTCCAACGACACTCACCAGCTCAGCTCAGCCTACCTCGGATTTTTACCTCGTCCTCCAGCTGAGAGTTAAGGTTCAAGGAGCAACACCTGACTCTGAGGGTGAGGTGTTTTACTGCCATCACAGCTAGCCCCCCCCCCCCCACCCTGGCGGCTCGGGGTGGCATCATGTATTAGGACGAGATGTGTTCATGTAATGGGGAATCTCTCTCTCTCTCTCTCTCTCTCTCTCTCTCTCTCTCTCTCTCTCTCTCTCTCTCTCTCTCTCTCTCTCTCTCTCTCGTGATGCTTCCTTTTATAGTCGAAGTGAGAGGAGAGGAAGTGTAGAGAGGAGAGGAAAGGAGAGAAGATAACTGGGGAACAGAAAGCGGAAGTGGAAGAGGAGGAAAAGGGAGGAGTTACAAGTAAGAAGATTAGAGACGATGAGACACACACACAGACTGACAGGTGGAGGAGGGGAAGGTGAGAAGATTGAAGACGATAAGAGACAGAAAGACAGAGAAGGGTGGAGAAAGAAGACAGGAAATGAAGGAAAGGGGAAGAGAAGGTGGGAGGAAGAGAGGAAGGAAGAGGGGGAAGGAAGGGTGGAGAAAGGGGGGGAGGGAAGGGTGGAAGGGGTAGAGGAGAGTGGAGAAGGGGAGGGGAGGGGGAAGAGAAAAGGGAGTGGGGAAGGGGAGAGGGAGGGAGGGGGAGGGCAGCTGTCCAATAAGGGAGCGCCAGCACTAGGTCGTAATTCAGGGTGATGAGGGAGTGAGTGTGTGTGTGTCAGGGTGTGGGCGACCAAGGGT